GCTGTAGATGTCTTGACAAAGCACCCCATTACAGGACACGATTAATAGGCTCAGTGGGGGCAGAATGGTGAGACAGAAAGACCCCCCACCCAAGCTCTTATCAGGGGCCCCTTGTAAAATTGGAGAAAAGGTATTGAGTGGAATGGCCTAAAGTTAAGTCTTGGCCATCTTTCGTGATAAATAAATGTATAGGCAAGGCTTGAATCCTGCATTCTTCAGTATTTTTTGCTAAAAACTGGTGTAAAGAAGCAGAAGGAAGAAATTTGGATAGCGTAGCCAGTGATGTAGAAGACAAATATAATTTTTACAATATGATAGTGGATTGATCATCTTGGAATGAAGTTGAAGAGAGATTAATTGCAGTAAGGAAACAAGCATCAAATGCACAGGTATGGGTCGCCATGCAGGTAGTTTTCACTTAGCGCCCCTAACTGGGACTAGAATTTTTGTCACTAAGCAAATCGGTCATTCGGTGAATCATCACATGACCCCATTGCTTAGCGATGGCAGTTCTGGTAGGCCCAGTTGTGGTTGTTAGGATCTCCTTCCCACCTCCAGGGCATCTCCCATCCATCTATCTCGCCTCACCTTCGCCATTTTGGCTGCCCTGAACTCTTCCAGCACCCCTAGTCCATTTTGGCCATGTTAGGTTTCGTGAGTAGAAATAATGGGGAATTTGCACCGGTCAAGGTTTCTCCCGTGAGTATTTGGTCTATCCCTAAGCATTGCTTTGAAGGATTTAGCAAAAAAAAAAAAAAAAAGCTCTGAGGAGGAATTAAATGATATGAAGAGCCATTGAAGGGGTTGGCCTGTTCAAAGGGGATATTATGGCACTCTTCCTATCCCAGAAAAAATATTGCAAGAAGTGGGTCAGAACTTTTATTGTTTGAGAGTGTAGGACATCAAAGCATGCTTTGAAGTGACGAGAAAGCAGATTTCAAGGGAATATTAAGGAACACTTGGCTTCAGTTATGGAACGAACTTTGCAAGAGAGATGTTGGCCTTCATTTTCCTTGGATATAGGCAGACCCTGGAGAGCCATCTAGGTGGGACACTTGAGTTTGGATTCTCAAACCCAGTGAGTTGGGTTCAGTGGCCGTCTGGAAACTTAACAAAAAACCCATCAACTTAGTTTTAACGAGATGGCCTGTGGCCGCTTGGCTTATGGTTTCAGAGATACCTCCTTACCAGATTCCTCAACGGCTTCAAACAATAACAGGGCTTCTGATGTCCGGCCTTGGGACATCAGATTCGGATCTGATTTGGAGAGGCATCTGCCTTGAAAGAAGTCCATGTTGATCTGTAAAGCACAGTCAAAAATCAGCGCAGGAAATGTTTTTATGATATTTTGTATTATGATCATGAACTGTTTTATGATAATGTTTATGTTATAACATGTTTTATAAAACCAGACAGATTTCAATTTCGCAGGAGTTATGGGCCCCAGATATTGGACCCATTCTGAAAGTCAACCCATTTGAGGCCCTTGGTTCAAAGCACTTTACCCCGTGATGCCCAGTTCTGCCTAGGGAAGCTTAGGGGAAGGGAAGTGTTAGTAGTCTATGGATCAGTTATCATCATCAACAACAACAGTAGTAGTTGTAATTAGATCCAGGTAACTTAGAACCTCTCATTAAAATCACAGCAAACCCACCATAATTGCATGTTGCATTGTTCTTTGAAACGGTTTAGATTAGCGTTTCACGACTTAATTCTCCAGTCAACATGGCCATAGCTTAGAAGTCGGATATACCCACCTATCCGGTAGCTGCAACAATTTGAAAACACAGCTTTATATTTTACATTTCAGCTTCCCATCCTTAAAAGGCAACCCTAGAGCACTAATTCCCGGATTTCAAATGAAAAATTGCTTTGCAGATGAACTTCAATTTGGGGGGGGGTCTAGCTTGCAGTCAAAGGAGATGCTGGTTGCTCTTTTATAAAGAAAAGAGATCTGAAGAGCTTGTCCATCTGCAAGCGGAATGAATGGGATAATTGTTAGTGATGTGGTATTCTTTGAAACAGACTCAACCTTCTGTCAAGCTACCAAATTCAACGGGAGCCTTTTCACAAATTTTAAAAAAATTAAGTTCAGGACAGTTTTCAGTCCTGAACTTACAATAATGTACCATTAGAACTAAATCGGAAAATGAGCGATTTCATTTGTGAAGTTGGGCTTACCACATTATTACAGCAAATCTCTGCCCATTTTTATTAGGCTAATTCAGAAACTACTAAATTAAACTCTAAAGCTAAATTCTAAGCTTTGGCTTGTGGGACCTTTTGCTGCGACAGCCTAAGTTTTAGGTAGAAGTTGTTTCTGTTTAGCTTGCAGGCTGGGTCTGTACACACACAATTATTTCTTGAAAAATAGAATTGTGAAAACGATGACAGGGTGAGACCCTTGGGGTGCTTCTGACGTGTTCCTGGATGCCTGGCAGTCAGATCAACAGTTGCTTTCTGTTGGAGGAGCTGGCATTTTGTAGGGGGTTTTTTTCCCCCTCGCTGGGCATTTTTGTGCATTGCTGGGACTTAGGATGTTTTCTGTGAGTTTCTTGTTTCAATAGTACATAATCACACCAGTGGTTTACGACCATCAGATTTGGATAGTGTATTCCAAATTTGCTCTCCATATATATTCCATTTAGTATTCCAAAAGAGCTATGGAGTCCCCATACAGGACTTCTGGGTATACAAGTTGTCCTCTTCTGATTTATGACAAGAATATCTGGTTAGGTGATGAGGACAGGTGATGATTGGGCATACAGAGTGAGTTGTTGAATGGAATTTCAGAACTTCGATCCTGAAAGCAGGGCTTGGCTCATTTTATCCCCATGTGAACATCAGTGTTATTGATAAAAAACAGCATTGGAAGCTTGGAACTTTATAAAAATAAAACCTTTCCATGGGAAGTAATCAATCAAATGCAAAGCTGTATTTTTAAACTGGAAGGGTGAACTTGATTTATTGTGTAGCTAAAAGATAAATGTTTAAATCGTTTCCTAACTTGTACTTAGTTAAATCAACCTTAATTACTATAAATATATTACAGAATGTGAGCTATTTGACTTTGTACACATATTTCCAATTAAAGGGAGCTGCAGGGTCCTCCTGCTGCCGCGATCATGTTTCTGATGATAATGGTTGGTAATTCATCTGGGAAGTTACCGTTTGGGGGGATTTGCACGTTCAGAAATGTGTGTCTATTTGTGTTATTTAAGCTTGTGGCCCTGGGCATGCCTGAACATTGTTGGGATGTTTGCGAGCCTTCCTTCCGTTTGGGCTACCTGCCATACATGCTTAGTGGAGAGTCACTATAAATTTGAACACATTTGTACCCAAACCAGTGGTGGGTTGGTAGCGGCGGGAGGCTCCGCCTACCCGCCCGGACGTCTCTGCGCATTCACAGAAGCGTTGGGCGCGCACGTCCATGAGCGAACCGGTAGCAGCGGGATTTGAAACCCACTAGTGACCCAAAGCTCTCATTGTCTGTATCTCTGCCTTTGCTCTCCTGGACGGCCCTGCTTATCTGGGGCCCTACTTCCTGCTTCCACCCATGGCCTCCCTCTGACTCCATCCAGCAAGCCATAGAGTGAGTAGGGATGGGGAACCGTTGGCCAACTCCCCTTAGCATGGCCACCCACTGATTACCCCCTTTTTATAAATATTCTCAGGCGTTCTGCCTTTGATGCTGGGAGTTCACCTTGTAGAGATAAACAGACAAATGGAAGGATTCAACGGGAGCCTTTTCACAAATTAAAACGAATTAAGTTCAGCTTCCGTGCTTTTCAGTCCTGAGCTTACATTTATTGCATTTATCAATTACAGATAGTAGCAGTAGCACTTAGACTTATGTACCGCCTCACAGAGCTTTTCAGCCCTCTCTAAGCGGTTTACAGAGTCAGCCTCTTGCCCCCAACCATCTGGGTCCTCATTTTACCCACCTCGGAAGGATGGAAGGCTGAGTCGACCCTTGAGCCGGTCAGGATCAAACTCCTGGCAGTGGGCAGAGTTTGCCTGCAATGCTGGATTCTGCACCACCTCGACATTTGACAAAATGGAAATCTGCCCATTATGCTTGTATATCAAGTTGTAAATCGATTCCATCATGTGACTAACCTGATTTATGACCAACCAGTCATAACTCGAGACCTATCCACACAACATCCTAAATGCAAACTATCACTAAATCGTTCTGCGTTTGCATCTTTCCATTTGTCTTTGACGTTTTACCCTGAAGAACCTCCTGTAAATCACTTCCTTGGGAGGAAGAATTCTCCGGGGTTTCCTTGCGAAGGGGGGGGGGACCAAGAAGCCGTTTTACTGGGCTGCCTGGTCTCCAAATCCTAGCAGTTAAGTCCATTGCAACTGGCACTTCTGTAGCTTTTGTGCTACCAAAAAAGAATGAGTCATTTCTATCCCACATCCTTCAATTTCCTGTCAAGATCTGCCTCTTATTTATTTGTAGCTTATTTGTGCCTTGGATGGATTTAGGTGGAGCCTTGTTGTTAGTGATCATGCTTACAGCTCCTGTGTTTTTGTAGGCCTTAGATTCTTCCCTGTATTTCTTATGGGCTTTGTTCTAATGCCTCCTTCGAAGTTGTCCAGCCACAATAATGCCTGGGTAGCATGAGTAGCTATTCTTCACCTTCTCCCCAAGCAGAAGAGGAATAAAATAAAACGGCTCAAAATAATACTTTCCATCTCTGCTTGTTCTTTTATTGTTCTGTTGTAAGGCTGCAGAACGGCAAAACGTTAGTAGTTGCTTTTTTTTCAAAATGCCTATTGTCTCATTCTGAGAATTAGCTAGAAGTATCCAGTGTGATTTTTAAAAGTAGGGAACGTGAATATTTTACCTTGGAAGCCTTCTCAGATGTTGGGTTTGGTTTATATTATTTTGGTAGCGTGTTTTGGTAATATTAGGCTCCCCAAACAGGCTCCGTATGCATCCTCCGTGACTAATAATACGATTTTGTGGCTTTGTTCCTTTATTTATGCAGAAATATAAATAAACTGGAAACATCCGTGATGGATTTCAAAAGTAACTCGCTGTTGCTCCCCAAGAAAGGTGCCAACCACATCAAAATGAAGCCCGTCCCTGAGATCCTGGGGGGCCCCACCGGAAAGCCGCCCGGCTGCGAAGTGAACCGGGAGTGTTCTGTTTACCTGGGCAAGAGCCACCTTTCCGCCACACTACAGGACGATGTCCTGCCGAAATACAACTGCCACGATGCCCTGCCCTTCATCCCCGTGGAGAAGCTCCAGGACCTCACCTCTCGCGTCTTCAATGGGGAATCGGGAACGCAAGACGCCAAGCTGCGTTTCGAGTCTCAGGAGGTCAGGGAAGCCGGAACGACCCCCAACACTACGCCGGCCAAGAACGGCTCGCCGGAAATCAAACTGAAAATCACTAAGACGTACATGAACGGGAAGCCTCTCTTCGAGTCCTCCATTTGTGGCGACAGCGTGCTGGAGGTCACCCAGGCGGAGCAGAGGGAGCCAAATCCGGGAAGCAAGGAGAAGAGAAGTAGGAAAAGGAGCATCAAGTACGACTCCCTGCTGGAGCGAGGTTTCGTGGAAGCGGCGCTACTGTCCAGTTCGTCCGGCTCCTCTGACGAAAAGGTACCCTTGCTTCCCTCCGGCCGTTGTTGGGGGGACCAGAATTTGTGGCTTGTTTGAAATTGGGTTTTCAGGTCTTGGCTCCAAGGAGTCTTTGCCCAGATTAATAGGTCCGTGGTTTCTGAGAACGTAAAGACATCCTTGGGTTCAGCTTTGGTGGCTACAGAGTACGGGTAGTCCTCGATTTATAACAGTTCATTTCGTGACTGTTCAAAGTTATCAACAGCACTGAAAATTGCAACTTATGACCGTTTTCATAGTTACGACTTTTGCAGCATCCTCATGATCATATGATCAAAATTCAGATGCTTGGCAGCTGGTTCACATTATGACGGTTTGCAGAGTCCCGGGGTCACGTGATCCCGTTGTGACCTTCTGACAAGCAAAGTCAGTGGGGAAGCCAGATTCACTTAACAACCAGGTTATTAACTTGTCAACTGCAGTGCTTCACTTAATAACTGTGGCAAGAAAAGTTGTAAAACGGGGCAAAACTCAACAAATGTCTCCCTTAACAACAGAACTGTTGGGCTCATTTGTGGTCATAAGTCAAGGACTACCTCTATGACCATATAATTTTCTAGCAGCAATATAGAAGGCGCTTACTCTTGCCTTGATTCGGGGTATTTTCTCAGCTCTCCAGGCTGATGCTGTCTTATCTTAAAATAAATCAAGGGCCGCTAATTGTAGTCCTGTCAGTAGGCAACTATGGCCCCCTCACAACCTGTGGACTTCAACTCCCAGAATTTCCTGGGCCTTTCCTGGCCGGCTGAGGAATTCTGGGAATTGAAGTCCACAGTTCATAAAGGGGCCATCGCTGCCTATCCCTGCTCTCTACTCCTATTTGCTAGTTTTTATCAACTGGGGCCGCCCCAGTTGCTCACCTCTGCTATAGAGGATGTGCATCCATTTCCAAAATCATTTAGGTTCCCCTCTTGTTTCTCTCCTCTGATCATCCTTGTGTGTGAATGGCATGAGGCTCTTCACCTGGAACAGGAGGGGTGGTGTCCGGGATAGATAAAAAGCCATCCAGAAGCACACTGACCTCAAGTTGTGCTGCTTGGAAGTTATGGAAGAAGTTGTATTTCCCGCGGTGTTGCTTTTTTTAAACTCACGGAGCAAAACTTGCTTTAAACAATGTGAAAAGGAGAAAAAATAGCTCGCAAATCAGAGAATAATAATGCTAAACCAGAACCAGTCATATTAAGAATGTATTATTAGATGTTGTCAAGGTTTGGATCCAGATGTTGTGATGCGCTTCTGGCTATTTTTAGCAACATGATGTTTGTTCTTATCCACTGCTCTGCTGACAATTTTTTCTTTTTAAACATTCATGATCCTGGAGGAAAGGCTGGTATCATTTCTCCAGTCACTTGCAATCTTTATTTCACTCTTGAGGTTATTCATTGCACCTGCCTGGAGAGCATCGCTGAAAAAAAACACAATGAGTTTGAGTTTTAAAATAAATAAGAGTTTATTATAGATAAGAGTCAAGGATAGAATCCTGAATGAGAAAAAGAGCAGAGGAATTGTTTTTCTTCTGGTGATCGACCCAAATCATTGTCCAATGTTCAGATTTCAAAGTTAATTCCTCATCTCCCACCTGCCATACATTCATTTTCTAATCTACAATGTTTGTACTTCCCTTTTGCAGTTATTTTGAGAGGGCACCCTTAACACGTTCCTAAATTTTGAAATTTATTCCTGCTTATAAAAAATGGCATTTCAATATAAATATATCAGTATTAGAAAGAGTGAAGGGAGTGAATAAATATGGCGGGGGGGGAAGAGCCCGGGTGCTTCATCCGGATGTCCTGGCGAGGCTGCCTTCGGTCCCAGTTTGAGCCACAAGTGATACCGGTCCCTGCCGCCTCTGCCTGGTAGTCAGAGATAATGAAAGCCGTGATTGGATAAATCTGGTTTACTTACTCAACTGAACCAGTCAGGGCATCAGTAAAGAGCGCTGATTGAATGCATGGCTTCCTATGGCATAGAGCAGTCTTGGCGAACCTTTTTGGCACCAAGTGCCGAAACGGGAGCATGCACGTGTGGGGGAGCACCGGAAACCGGAAGAGCAACAGGCAACAGCCCTGAGAGATGGCTCTGTGTGCCACTTCCGGCACACGTGCCACAGGTTTGCCATCACGGGCATAGAGTATTAAATACATGAGGATATGTAATATTAAATATATGAGGAATACATGCAGAGTATGATCATAAACCTAAGTCAGTGCAATGCTTTTTGTTCTAATAAGGGGTAGATTTGGCTCTCTCCCCCCCCCCCAATCATTGGGTTTTTTTAAAAAAAGGCTGAAATTCACCTAATGGCTTGTCACTGGAGAATGACGTTCTCCTTAACCAATGGAACAGAAGTTGCTCCATCACTGGAGGTTTTTAAAAAGAGACCGGACAACCACTTGTCTCAAATTGTATAGGGTCTTCTGCTTGAGCATGGGGCTGGACTAGAAGACCTCCAAGGTCCCTTCCAGCACTGTTCTGATTGAAGCTACCTTTGTCTTCTCCATCTCTGTTCAGGACAGGAACCAGTTGGAATTCCCAGGTTCCACTCCATTGATGTGGAGGTATTTGAGGTATTTTTAAGTTTAGAGTAGCTCAAATGCAGGACAAAGCAGAAGGTTCCTCAGCTGCCCTCTGAGGTTGAGAACATCCTCTATGTTTCTATCCAAGTCGGGCTTTGTCCCAAAGGTGCTTTTTAGAAAATGCCACTGGACTTTTTGGGTCTCGAGCTTCCTTTTGGGAAAAGCTCCTTTGGGACAACTGTGGCCTGGATGACGGAGAAGCTCCTTAGACAAAACAGGGCTTTGGTTTTGTGTAAAACTGAGCTCTGAGGATTCCCTCTGTGCCTTTCTCTCTGCAAGGGCCCCTCTCAAATGCACACGGAGCCCAGCAGGACAAGCCCAGGTCTCATCTCTGGCTGAGGAGAGGAGAGTCCTATCATACTATGTGCCTGGATAGATTTATATTGGGATAGAAAGCGTTTGGGTTAGTTAAACGACGTACTCAAAGCAATTACTAGATGGAGGAAGTGTCAGTCTCCCAGTTCTAGATATTTTGGCTGTTTCCAGGACCTTATTCCACACAGACCATTTAGTAAAAGTGGACCTTAAGAACAGTTTTATAATGATGTAGGTCGTTTCTGTGAGACCATCTCCAGAGGGTGTAAGGCTGTTGGACTCCTAAAATGTCAGCCCACATACACTTTCACACGGATGCGTCTCATCCCATGCGGTGCTCACCCTCTCCTGAAAGGGTTCTGTTTGCCAGAAGTGCGTATTGGAGGGCCATGAATTGAGTTCATGGTTCCTTCTTGCTAGCCGATTCCAAGGAAACCGTCGCTGCCATCGAATGCAGTCCAAGTTCGATAATAAGTTGCATGAGGGAGAACACCTGGGACCTCCAAGGCATGAAAGAGGCACTATAGGAAATGAGATCTTTGATTTGGGCTTGTTTGGATGGGGTTGCAGTCGGAATGTATTTGTATTCAGAGGCCGGAAACGTTTTTGAACACAATGCAAAGGTAACAGGTTGCATGTAAATTCACTGCTGCTTGGAAAATGCCTGTGAGAAGAAAGTTAGATTTAATAAGCGTGTCCGGTAGTTTCCCACGTTAAATACGCACGTGCTTTCCAGGTTTTGGTTACCACCTTTAAAGCGCTCCATGGCTTAGGGCCTGGTTATTTACGGGACCGCCTACTACCACCAATAGCCTCCCACCGGCCAGTACGCTCTCATAGAGAGGGACTCCTCCGGGTGCCATCAGCCAAACAATGTCGACTGGCGGCCCCCAGGCGGAGAGCCTTCTCTGTGGGGGCACCTACTATCTGGAATGAGCTCCCCCCGGAGATACGGAGGATCCCGGATCTGCACTCCTTCCGCCGTGCTGTGAAGACCTTTTTATTCCATCAAGCGGGCTTGGCCTGATCTCTTCCCTTTTTAAAATATGTAAATTTTAATCTGTTTTTAAATTATTGGGGTATTTTAATTTGTCTGGGCCAAAAAGTTTAATTTGATTTTATCGGGTTTTTAAATTTTGTGTATTTATGTATTTTATTGTTGGCTGTTCACCGCCCTGAGTCCTTCGGGAGTAGGGCGGTATACAAATCAAAAAATAAAAATAAAATAAATAAGGTTCCTGCTTATTTATTTATTTATTTATTTATTTATTTATTTATTTATTTTGATTTCTATACCGCCCTACTCCCGAAGGACTCAGGGCAGTGCACAGCCAAACAATAAAACACATACATACAAAATTTAAAAGTAGAATTAAAATCAAATTAAATAATTTTGGCCCAGACAAATTTAAAACCCCAAACTATTTAAAACCAATTTTAAAATTGAATATATAAAATACTAAAAGATATTTAAAAATTAAAAATCTTTTATAAAAGAGGGAGAAAATTAGGCCAGGCCCGCCTGGTGAAATAATAAGGTCTTTAAAGCGCGGCGGAAGGTGCGCAGATCCGGGATCCTCCGTATCTCTGGGGGGAGCTCGTTCCAGATAGTAGGTGCCCCCACAGAGAAGGCTCTCTGCCTGGGGGCCGCCAGTCGGCATTGTTTGGCCGACGGCACCCGGAGGAGCCCCTCTCTATGGGAGCGTACCGGCTGATGGGAGGCTATTGGTGGTAGTAGGCGGTCCCGCAAGTACTCAGGTCCTGAGCCATGGAGCGCTTTAAAGGTGGTAACCAAAACCTTGAAGCGCACCCGGAAGACCACCGGGAGCCAGTGCAGCTCACGCAGGAGGGGTGTTACATGGGAACGCCATGTCGCTCCCATTACCACCCGCGCGGCCGCACTCTGCGCCAGTTGGAGCCTCCAGGTGCTCCTCAAGGGAAGCCCCATGTAGAGAGCGTTACAATAGTCCAGGCGGGAGGTGACGAGGGCATGAGTGACCGTGCGTAACGAGTCCCGATCCAGAAAGGGACGCAACTGGCGAATCAGGCGAACCTGATGAAAAATCCTCCCAGTCACGGCCGTCAGGTGCTCTTCTAAAGACAGCCGTGAATCCAGGAGGACGCCCAAGTTGCGCGCCCTCTCCGTGGGGGCCAATGATTCGCCCCCAATAGTCAGTGATGGCACCAACCATCACTGAGTATTGTTAGGATTGTTACGGCTTGTCCATGCATTTCTGCCAATAAGACACGGTCCAGCTTCATCATGGCAATGGAGCCCAGTCCTTAACCCCGTTATGGGTCACTCCTAGTTTCCCACCCCACAATTCACTTGACCTACTGGTGCCCTTCTCAAAAGGATTGCAGCTACTGAGCCCTCCTAAAAACGGTCATCTCCAAGGGGGCTTCACATGTGTCCCTGTATGATCTGGAGAAACGTAGGCAGAACTGCAACATCGAGGGTTCCATTTGGCTTAGGAATTGGCTAATTTAGAGCCACCCTGGAAGTTCCTGAAGCAAAGGAGGCTTAAAGTAGGCAAAGTTGAGGCCTAAAAACTTGACTGTTTCAACAAATGGGCTGATTCTGATTCTTGGGTTTTATTATTTATTTGTCTCTGTTTTAATTAGTTTTAATTAGGATTTTCCTTCATTATTGTATGTTTTAACTTGTGTTCGCCGCCCTGAGTCCTTTGGGAGAAGGACGGCATATAAATATTTGTAAATAAATAAATAAATAAAGTATCACTTTCCAGGTTGGAAATTAAGACGGAAGCCCATCATGCTGCTCTTCATAATAAGCCATGATGGAGTTTCGTGCTTGTTCAACTGTGAAAGTTTTCTTTCTCATTGCTAGAATTTGGGTGTGTTTCCTTTCCCCTCCCCTCCCCCCCTAAAGATTTCTGCTGAAGAAGAAGAAGAAGAAGAAGAAGCTCCTCTGGTGACTGGAAAGGAGGACAAAACCCTCCTGCTGAAGTACAGCGTGGGAGACGTGGTCTGGTCCAAGGTGACCGGATACCCGTGGTGGCCGTGCATGATCTCCACCGACCCTCTGCTCCATTCCTTCACCAAGCTCAACGGTAGGTCCTTTGGGGGAGGGGGAGGGGGTGGGGGGAGGGGCGTCTTCCTTTTAGGCCGCTCCTGGTCTCAGGCAGTCACCCACCCAGTGGAATCCAAGAAGAAGGGAAGTCAACAGATCGTCCTTTACTTGAAACATTTGCATTGGCTTTAACGAAGGCAGAATTGGGTGCAACTTTTAAATGCACATTACAGGTAATGTAATTACTAACCTCCAGAATTGGGAGTGGAATTTCAGTCATGCATTGTGGTGGTCATAAGTTGAGGCAACCACACGACCGGACCTGATCTTCCAATCATGTTTACAGCAGTCATTAAGCGAATCACACCAACGTTGAGCAAATCCGTTCTCTCAAACCAGGGGTGTCAAACCCGAGGCCCATGGTGCTGGATCTGGCCCGCAGGGTGCTTAGACCTGGCCCGCAGGGCTGCCCCAGAGACAGCAAAGGACCGGCCCCGGTGCCTCTGCCAGCGAAAGTGGAGCTCAGGAGGGCTGTGCGCCACCCTCCCAAGCTCCGTTTTCAGGCCACGACGGCCTCCCGCAACACTCTGCCAGCGACAATGGAGCTCGGGTGTTTTTTGCTGGCAGAGGGCTAGCAGAACACACTAAAAACAAAATGAGAAATGTTTCCCCTTTTGCATTTGAGCATGCAAGAAGGGACAGGAAAGGGGAAAGGGAAAGAGGAAAGACAAAGGAAAAGAAGGGAAGATGGGAAGGAAGAAGGAAGGAGAATGAAGAGGGAAGGAAAAGAAAAGGAAGGAATATAATGAGAGTGAAGGAGAGTCTGAGGGAAGCCTGGCCTTAGCATTTGGCCACCATAGGTGCCCCCAACACGAGTGACGTCAAGCTGGCCACGTCTACTGTGGCCCCCAGAGGTCAAACGCAACCGTGATGTGGCCCTTAATGAAATCAAGTTTGACACCCTTGTGTCAAACGGATGTCTTTTTGCTGGAAACGGGCGACAAACTCCCAGAAACTGGCAAAAAAAAAAAATTATTATTATTTTTGCAAATCGCAGTCATGTGGCCGCAGGACATTGCATCCAGTCATAAATGTGAGCTGGCTGCCAAGTCTCCCCACTTTTGTAGGGTGTGTGTGTGTGAGAGAGAGAGAGAGACATTTTGCAATGACCGTAAGTGCTATTCAGGCTGTAAAGCACCCTTTCCGAGACCGCCATAACTTTGAACGCTGGTCATAAGTTGAGGACTACCTGTAAACCGTTTTAAAATACGCTTAAGCTTCTTCCACTACGGTGACTGTACCAGCCTTGTGATTTCTTTATGGCAGATCCACCTGGTTTTGTTTTGGGGTGTTAACGGTAGCCACCAACACCTGTAAAACCAGGTAGCTTTCTGAAGAGCGGAAGGCCCAGCTGACCCTCGCAAGGCCCTTCGCGAAGACCTAAATGGCGTAATGGCTTTTTGGGGAGCGATGCCAGAGATGGGAGAAGTCAGGGCTTCTCTTCCACTTGCTTGAAAGAAGCAAGCTTGGACATGGGCCGATTCACGTGTTCGTTAATTAAACGACCTCTTTCAGAAATGCTTTGGTTTTGCTTTACATTAATAAGCCAGGACAGTCGACATGGGTGAGACAGGGTGGATTCACACTTCACACTACATTTTATTTTGCTTTACTAGCTTGTTGAACAAGCTGTGGTCTTGCTGAATCCACAACCCGGTGCTAAGCCAAGAGATAATTCTTCACCAGAACGGCTGACCTCCGGCAGCTCAATAAGCCAAGAGTTTTTATGCTGTCGCAGGTTAGGTGGAGCCATTCCCTGCCTTTCTCGATCTGGTTATTCTTCCAATGGTTGGATTTCAGCTCTCCAAATGCCGCCTCCATCCTGGCCATTACCAAGAACAGAGAAACCCACCCATCTCTAGGATGCCAAGCGGGTATTAAACTCGGCAAACATGTTGGGAAAAATTTAACTTCCTACAGTCCAGTGTTACTCCATCTTTCCGTGTGGCTCTGTTAAGCTAAGACTCCGAATTGTCTATATTTTCAGGACAGAAAAAGAGTTTTCGCCAGTATCACGTACAGTTTTTTGGGGATGCGCCAGAGCGAGCCTGGGTGTTTGAAAAAAGCCTGGTAGCGTTCAAAGGAGAGGAGCAGTTTGAAGAATTGTGCCAGGAAAGTGCAAAGCATTCCATTAGCAAAGCAGAGAAAATAAAGGTAACCTTCCTCTGTGCTGTTTCGGGCTGGCTAATTTAATCGTTGGGCTGTTTTAGCTGCTTGCGAAAAGCGTTTTGTTAAGCCTTGATACGAAGAGAGAAAATGGGGGGGGGGTTGTTCAAGATTCCCCAGGTAGGGCTTTTCAGGTGTTGGTCTCCATGACCTCTTTTGTCTTTGTTTTACGTTTTTCCTGCAGATGCTCAAACCGGTTTCAGGGAAGCTGCGTCCCCAGTGGGAGATGGGGGTCAAGCAGTCGAAAGACGCCCTCTCCATGTCCCTGGAGGAAAGGAAAGCCAAGTACACCTTCATCTACGTCAGGGGCAGGCCAGTCCTCAACCCCCAGGTGGCCAAGGAAGCCGGACTGGCGGTTAAGTCCTTGGAAGAGATGGATAAGATTTATTCGGACGAAGACCTTTCTCAGACTCTGAAATCCAGCAAAGAATACGACGTCCCGGCCAAAAGGGGCAGAAGGACCAAGTCGCTTTGCACGAGTGAATCGGAAGACTTCGCCCCCAAGCCCGTCCTGAGCACCCCTCCCGAAAGAAACCTGGAGGAGAGAGGAGGCACGGCGGGGTCCCCTTTCGGGCGGAAGAAGGCGATTCCCTACGCTCCCCGGAATCGGAAAAGCGATGGAGCCCCTCAGTTCCTGGTGTTTTGCCAGAAGCACCGAGATGAGGTTTGTGTCCTCAGAATCCGTATCGTGAGGCTTCCCTCCTTTTCTTTTCCAGGTCCCTTAAGGGCCACAGAGCCCGAACCCCTTCGTCCCCTTCTCAGGCCCTTTGCTCTCATCCACCCAGGGTCTAAGGAGCTTTGCAATCATCCTTCTGAAGAGAGCAGGCCTAAGAAAGAGTTCCCTTTAAATTGAGAGATAGACAGCTGTAAACACTGACAGTTGGATGATTTTGGGGGGGGGTGGATTTTGGAACTGAAGAATAGGAATAGGAATAGAATAGAATAGAAATAGAAATAGAAACTTTATCACTTTGAATGTGCACTAATTGGTATACATTAAAATGAAATTTTGTTGCATACTGGGTTATCAGTACCTCTGGGGTGGGCTGTCGTAAATTCAAACGGCCACTAAACGAGCAGCCATAATTGTGTGTTTATCTGCCAGTTGCATGACAATGTATTTGCACACCTGAAATCCCCCCCCCCCCTTGCCATTGTTTTTGAGCTGTTTGTGTCTCTTCTATTAATGGAGATGCAGGACATTTAAAGTGTGCAGAAGATCTGGGTCCTGTAGGAGAATCTGAAGATTAAAAGAAAAAACTTGGAGAAAACTTTTAAAATAGACCATTTTTAGCTACAGGTAGTCGTAGACTTAACAACAGTTCATTTAGTGACCCTTCAACATTACGTCACTGAAAAAAGTGACTTGTGGCTGTTTTTTCACACGGATGACCTTTGCAGCCTCCCCCCTGGTCATGTGATCAGAATGCAGGCCCTTGGCAACTGGTTTCTATTTATGACAGACGTCCCGGGATGATCCCCTTTTCTACCTTCTGGCAAGCCGGGTCAGTGGGGAAGCCGGATTCACTTAACTGTGTTTCCAATTGAACCACTGCAGTGGCAAGAAAGGTCATAAAATGGGGCAAAACTCACTAACAAATACTTCATTTGGCTTGACATAAATTTTGGGCTCAATTGCGGTGGTAACTGGAGGATTAACTTGTACTGTACAATGGCAAGTTGAGTTCCTGCCTGCTTGGGATCAATGAACGTCCCGCGTGTCTGTGGGGAGGATTCTCCATCATGGTTGTCCCAGAGGAGCTTTTTCAAAAGGCAGCTGGACTTCCTCAGGTTTTTTTCCCCTTGAAGACGCTTCACTTCCTTGCAGCCACCAAGGGGGAAACCAAGAAAATCCTGCTGCCTTTTGAAAAAAAAAAAAAACACTTTTGGGACACGTCCGTCATCTGACAAAAGTTTAAAAAGTTAAAATAATAAATAAATGAAAATCAAAAAAAAAAAAAAAAAAACCTCCAGAGAAATTTTTGAGATTTCTTTGAAGCTGGGCGGGGGGGACCCGGGCTCTTTTCTCTCTCTCATTCGTGTCTGTTCCGCCCAGGTGGTGGCTGAGCACCCCGATGCCTCTTGCGACGAAATCGAAGAGCTGCTGGAGTCACAGTGGAACATGCTTAGTGAAAAACAGAAAACACGCTATAACACAAAATTTGCCATAGTGACCTCTCCCAAATGTGAAGAAGACACTGGTAAACGTAAAACTGTGCTAGTATACTCTAACTAAAAGTTTTAATATATGTAGTCATGTTTAATTAAGCACACGGTTCTCAGCCTGTAGGGAAGATCAGCTTTCACTGTTTCCGTTTCTAATTTTTGGGATGTTGTGCTGATTAAGCAGTGAATGCAGTCCTTTTTTTCTTTTTCTTTTTTAAATTTAAACCAGAAGAGTCAATCATGTCTACATTTCTTGGTCATTGTTCTGCGAAGTTGCTCTGTGTAAATCTATTGTAGATATGCTGGTGTCCTCATTCCCTTCCTGTCTCTAAGCAGCCGCCACCTGTATCGCTGTCGACGAAATGAGAATTACGGAGATTAGAAAGAAATTAAGCTAGAATTTTTAAATTTAAAACATTCGCTCTTAAGCGTAACTCTTGTTTTTAAAGTTGAAGTGGAGGTTGAATCTGTGTCCCTGGGTTTGCAATAATTAAGATCTGTGGATGTGAAGAAACACCCAACGCTTAAAACGTTTCCAGGACTGACACCGGTGGAGAAGATTGTTAGAATCTGCGGGAATCTGGCCAGATCTCCATTTTTATAAAGCGTTTAGCTTAATATCCTGATGAGCTACAGGTTTGGAAGAGTGGATATGCCTAAAGGCAAAAAAAAAAAAAAAAGCCATATTTTTGTTTCTCAGTATTAATATTATAGTCTTTATAACGTTGTTGGACTATAACAGAAATTTTAAGATATCAGGTTGCTGCTTTGGACAATGAGAAGAATGAGAGTGTGTTGGAAAGGTTTCTCAATTTTGGACAATATGTATTAAAAATTATAGTCAGTTTTGTTATTTGTGTGTGAAATGACAACCTGTGGGGAAAGTTGAATGCTTTGTCTCAATGTATAAAATGTGGGTGTCGGTTTTAAAAACAAACAAAAAAGACTACACAACATTCTGTATCTCTCAAGGTTCAGCCCAGAGGAGTTTGAGCAAGGCCAAGCGTCAAGTCTTTCAAGGATCAGCTAAACGAAGATCAAGATCCAGAAGTAATTTAAATTTGTGCCGTGTAATACTGATTTTAAACTAAGTAACCCTTACTTAAGTGTGCCTTTCATGTAACTGCTCAATAATATCTTTTTCTCAAATGTTGTGCTCCTTCAGTTTTAGCGTTTTTATGGATCTTGAATTAAATATTTGAGTGCTGTAGTACAAAATTCTGTCCAGCTTTATGGTAGTTTCTTCTTACGGTCCAATTAAAATGAATCTTGCTTCCTCAGTTTGTTACACCTATAGAAGAGGACTTTCAGGCTTGGGCACATTTAGGGATCTGTGAAAGACCGTTTTTGCACGTCAATACAGTTTTATGTCAAAATCCTGGCCTACGTCCTAGCTTTTCCCAATAAATTTAAACTTCACCACTGAGTGGCATGTGGAAGCGAAGAGTTATCCACGCATTTTTTAAAAGAAACGTGTTTATAGGATAGCAAGATCTGTTTTGAGGCTTGAAAATTTAATTACCAGCAGAAGAATCTTGACTTGTTCTGTGGCTCCAAATTAAGCAATAGAAATTTGGCCCTAGGCTAAAAAGTATAATTGGGGAATAATAAACAGTAATTAGAAAATTTTGGGATATTCGAATAGGGGATTTGAGGGGTAGGGAATAGAAGCTTTACTTATAAAGAATTAGTGAAACTAGTTGTGATCCTCTGAAAGTTTGTAACATAGAACTTGATTGTTTCAAATGGGTTTTACTCAGACCCGCTGGTTTCAGATATAAATATGCAAGGTACTTAAAAATCTTTTTTTTTCCACGGTCTTTATCTAAAATGTTCCTCTCCCCTTGGTCTTTATATAAAACAAATTCACTTAACACCTGTATTGCTTTATGTTTTCCCAGCCTTAGGGGTGATGTTCTATCACATCGTAATATCAGAAAATGGGATAATTGCTTTATACACCATTAGCGTGCTTCTTAAAAGAAGTTACTTCAAAGCAAAACTCCTGGTTGTAGAGCCATTATAAATTGAAACGAGAAATTAATATTAAATATACAGATAGGTGTAGGATGTTTTTGTAGATAAGGTCAGCTGTGGTAGGTGTCTACTGCAAAGCTAGTTTTAATAAGAGAAGGTGGGAGTCACAAGATGTTTAGGGTTAATAAACATTATCCGGCTGTGTTAGAACAGTAACGTAACTGCTTTGGTTGGAGATAATTTCTAAATGAGCTTCAGACTTTTTTCATATAAGTCTCCCCATCCCTACTCCAAGGTAACTTATATGGAAATAAAAGGAAACCTGTAAAGAGGACAAGGAAACCCACAGAAGATTTTGAAGTTCAAGAAGCACCTAGAAAAAGGCTGAGAATGGATAAGAAGAATTATCAGAAGGTAATTATGTTCTTGGCTTATTTGGGTGTGCCGTGGTGGCAACCAGTGTGATTATTTTTTGACTTTGCTCAGTCACAATAGCCTTCGGCTTCATTGGAGCGGGGGATTTAATTGGATGGAGTGATCGATGGATGGATTGACCCATTAAATGAATGGTTAACCGGAGAGCTCGTTTTAAAACATCGAACTATATACAGTGCGCGTAAAAGCATCTTTGATTCCATATCTTGCATTTGTGGGTCTCTTTTCTGAATCTTCCTTCCACAATGATAGCAGAGGTACAAGTGAGCAGCTGAGACAGAAAAGCAACTGCCCGTCGGAATCTGTGGGGGGTTTCATCTGTAAAAGGAGATAAAATGCCCTTTCGGCTGTACTTTTGAGATAGCCAGTCGTAGGTTTTTGGGGTTTTTTTTTCATCTTGAACTAGTTATATATTTGCATCCAACACTTCACATATTTAGTTTCAAATAAATTGAAGAACAGTTGTGGAAGCAACAATTCATGCATCCAGAAATGTTAAAGATCCAGCAGAATTGTCTCGTATAGGTATTCTCATTTGAATGCCTATGTTGTGAACTTATGTGCAACATTATTAGCACTTTAAAATGTTGTGTTTTTCTTTTTCTTACCCCTTTGCCACATGATAGACAGGTAAGGCGTGTCAACTGTTGTTAAAAGAAACATGAACGTTAGGTCTTAGAGATGATAAAATAGTTGCGTTTAGCATCTTGTATCGACCTCACCGTTGGGTTCTCAGTTTTAATGAATTCCTGAGTAGATTATAGCTTCCGTTTGTGCACTCACCTTAATCCGTGGGAAAAAAAGTCAGCCCCCACCTGTCTGTCCCTTGCATCACTCAGAGATCCCAGCATGTAGTGAGCATGATTTCTTAACGCCCTTCTCCTGGAGGCCTTTCCTTGTATCCTTTGGCAAAGCAACAGGGATGAGGCCATTTGTCAGGGACCCATTTAGTCACAAGAGGCAACTGGACTTTCTGCGTTTCCTTTGAAGGCGTTTTGCTTCTCGTCCAAGAAGCTTCTTCAGCTCTGACCGGATGGTGGGGAATGAAACCATCCAGTCAGAACCGAAGAAACTTCTTGGCTGAGAAGCGAAACGTCTCCAAGGAAAAAAAAGGGCACCTTTTCGACTACTCTGGCCTGGATGACTGAGAAACTCCATAGACGTCACAGACTTAGGTTGTTCTGTACAGAAGGTGACTTGATGAACTGCTTTTACGGGTAAGTTACCTGTCCACAGGTATCTATGAACTGATTGGGTAAAAAAAAAACCGAAAACCTTTGCGCATAACACCCTAGCCATCCTCATAGGAAACTTTGATAACAACACTACCCTTTATACGCATTTCTCGACCTACGAATGCTACTGGGAACAGAAGTTCAGTTGTAAGTTGAAGCCCCCCTGTGACCGGACCCCATTTTACAACTGACAAACCTCAGCCTCGTGACCGCAAGATGCTGCAACTGGCCGTAAACGTGAGCTGGTTGCCAAGCAGCCAAAAGGCAGCCATGGGCCTGGTAGGGTGAGGCGGGACATTTTGACAGCCGGAAATGAGATAAAGAGCGTCATAACTCTGAACGGTCAGCCAGTTGCCAGTCAAAGGCTTACGTCCTTTTCAGTTGGAGGGGCTGCTATTAAATTTGTTTTTAACTTTCAAGTAAAACTCATGTTTGCTTAGTAACCTGTTTTTCCAAACTTACACCCGATTAACTAACTAAACATTATGTTCAGAAAAAAATATGGTTCCCCGGTGGGGATTTTAAATGAAAGTTCTAATTGTCCTATCGCGGAAGTCTTAAAAGTCCTAATTTTAAACCCATTATTTTAAAATTAAATGACTGTTTTAAAGATAATGTTTTTATTTAGAGTCTGTTTCAATGAGGTGATTATTGTCTTCCATTAATTTCTTTCTATATCTAAATTAGGAAGGCTCTTATTTTTTTATTATTATTTCATTTTCTCTTTTCCTTTTTTCCCCATTTTTTATAACAGAGGGAGAGAAGCAATGACAAAACAGCGAAAACAAACTCTGCTAAAGTCACAGAAACCTCACAAAAGAAGCAGTCAGGTAAGTTAGTCAGAACAAGCCTGATGCCTCTTATAGCCTCTTAAAAAGGTTCTACGTTCCGTGGTTTAACGTGGCTGCTGGACTTTGGGGAAGTGAGCCGTGGCACCATTCGAATGGGGCTGTAAGCTTGAGAAGCAGGACACACCTTCTATTTGCTGAAGACGGGGGTCCTAAATGGTTACCCCTTTGCCCCCCTCACTTTAGCCTCCCTACGCAGAGGGAGCCTCTGGCTCTCATGAACCACATTTAGAGAACCGATCAGGAATGGATGGGAAAACCCTGCAGGATTCTTAGAATTGGTAAATGGAACTCTCTTCTGCAACTAGATGGGCAGATAGGGAAGCTGAGAGGGAGGGAGAGATTTTATTGGTAGATGATAGAGATAGACAGATGAAGATAGAAGAATGGATGGATGATGGATATATAAACAGAGATGAATACATAGATAGACAGACATAAGCAAAGACAGATGGATAGAGATAAAGAGACAAATACCGTAAATAGACAGAGACAGATGGATAAATAGTCGTATTAGTCCTTGTGAGTATTTAATTTGTAAAAATTATTTGCAAATCTACTACATCAATAACAGATTATTGACCAAATCCATCCATGTCACATCTTTAGGAGAAGGTGGGGATACCCATTGAATGCTAGATTGCAAACAAGCTACATTATTATTTCTTAACTATTCTTAATTGTGTCTATATTTGCTTCTCTATATTTCTCATTCTACACTGGGGGGGATCTCAAAAGAACATTGTAAATTCTCGATACATCAGTCAGGCGATGTTGGCTTCTGACTTCAAGGAAAGACCCTGGGACTCTTAAGCTCTCTTTGTAAATCACAATTATTTTGCCACAACGACAGGTCTTTCCGATGCCTGTAAGCCACTGAAGAAACGAAATCGGGCCTCGGGACCAGAATCTTCGCATCTCCCTTATAGCAAAAGTTCATCTCCTTCCGCGTCCTTAACGGAGAATGAGGTAAACTGCAAATGAACAATGGAAGACAGATAAAAAAAAGATGCAACTGACTTAAACTTGCTTTCTTTAAACGATGGAAAGAAATAACGGTTGAAACAAGATTAATGTGGTTTATAAACACCTTAATCCTTCCGTTCACCTTTCTCTTTAAATACAGCATGGTAAGTTTATCTCTGCCAGGAAAAGAGGAAGAAAAGTTGGTGGGAACTCAGCTGTGGCTCTCACTGAGGTCAGATGAGCTCATTCCAGCTTTCCTGAATTTGGTTTCCCATGTCATTGTGAGACATTCAAGTTGGGTTTTCCGACAGAAGCGGTTTGCTGCAAGTATTTCAAATATGGAATAGACCAGGGAGACTGAAGCCATCCAACTATCTTTGATGCCAACTCTAAATTTGTGGTGCTGGCTGGGACTCCTTCGGACTCTCCAAAAGCAGCTTAATCCCAAATATTTCACCCAAAGCTTCTCTTAAAATGCTTAGGAAGAAGAAGTCATTCTATGAAAAAATATAAAACAGAGAGAAGTTAAGCAGGCTCTATTGGCACAGTTAAAGCAAGATGAAAACATGTTCAGTTCACCTCAGGTCGCAAGCAGTATAAACGAGAGGAAAAGTACATTTTCCTGGTTATTGAGATTGTTTTGTCTCCTAAAATGCAATGAAGCCTGTGCAGGGCTTGAGACAGGAAGGAGGGAAAAAACCTTTGGGCCTGTTAACCGAACGGCTCCCTCTGATGTAAAGGAGCATCAGTCCTTTGGTATCTTGGAGCCCCACACAGTCCTTTGGGCCTGCTCACGTGGTGCGTATATCTTTTGTATTCAGCAACCTCAAAACTCGGAGCAATACAACTGCAGCACACCGTCCAAGCATTTTTATAGGTAGGCCTCAACGGTTGCTTAGCAACCATTCAAATTACAACAAACCCTGAAAAAGGTGTTTACGACCTGGATTTGACATTCTGATGGCCGCCCTCCTCCACCGTGAGTCAGGTGACCCACATTTTGGGAGCTTGGCAGCTGTCCCCCGTTTACGGCCGTTTGCAGTCTCCTTCAGGTACGTGACCAGAATTTACGTTTTTGCTGGAAGCTGAGTTTATTTCCTATTTTCAGCAAAAAAAAAAAAAAAAAAAAAACCTCCCCATAATAAACAATGGGTTCATTAAACTGTGGCGCTCACTTAATGACCGCCACAAAAAGATCATAAAATCCGGTTAGCCTGAATCAGCTCTCCCCTTTGTGATCATTGGTAATAAACATGGATTAGGGCAACGGGACAATTGATCAAAGAGCATAAAGAAGTTTCTGCTAGGATCCGTTTCCATCACATTGTCCAAGAGAACGCAGAGATCAATAAAAAACTGATTGACAGAGAAGGGTACAGGCAGGTAATTCTTGACTTGCTTAGTGACCGTTTGAAATTGCAATGGAAACATGATTGCAAAAACTGCCCCTTAGCAAACCATGGCTCCGTTCAACCACTGCTGTCTTCTCTTAGTACAACCTGTAGTAGATTAGAATCCATGCCAACAGATTTCAATGTCCTCCTTGTAGACCTACAATGGTGTGGCCTTCTCCACCAGCCACCTCCATCTTCCAACCTCTTGATGCTCTTGATAAGAACCTCGGTTGCACTGTGTTTATTTGAGCCCTGGACAGCAGAATAATTGCCCGCCATTTAACCGTAAGAGCAAGAGTGCAATGGTCCACGTTCAAAGGAGAAGAAAGAAGAGGTTCAACCTGAGCAGTCCTTGACTTCATGAGACCAAGTTCATCCCCAGGGAACTAAGCTCATTGGCAGAGAACAGCCGCTCTCTCGGCTGCGTGTCTTTCCTCCGTGTGTCATCTATGAGCCCAGGCGGCCGTATTGATCATCACACAAGGAGCCCGTGTGCTGGACGATGGTCCTGCTTGTCCTGTGTAAAATGACAACCGTATTTCAGTTTCTCCTCCGAGTAGAAGACTTGCACTATTGCACAGTGACAATCACTGCATAATATGTACTTGTGGAGGCCTGTTTAGTTTTCTGTCCTTAAGTGAAACACTCTTTTCATCCAAGGAAGATGGTCAAATTTTGTGCGCAGAACTCCTCACTTTTTCCAGATATTAATAAGATAATTCTCTAACCAGGTCCCAAAAGTGCTTTTTTCCCCCCCCAAAAGGCAACTGGACTCTCTTTGTTTTTCCTTGAAGACTTTTTGCTTCTCATCCAAGAAGATTTTTCTGTTCTGTCTTCTGTCAGAACTGAAGATGCTTCTTGGATAAGAAGTGAAATGTCTTCAAGGAAAAAACAAAGGAAGTCCAGTTTCCTCTTGAAAAAGCACTTTTTGGACAACCATGACCTGGAGGACTGAGACATCTCTCTAACCAGGTTTCTTCCTAACCAAGCATCTTTGGAATAACCCATGAACTAGCACCTCTTATAGCTTCCCTATTGCCATCTACACACGATTGATGTGTAGCGACTACTGTGTCGCCAGTGTTCAGAGTCCTACTACTGATAGAGGCATTTTGTCATTCTTGCAGGGTTGCTATGATGGGGACAGAAAAAGTGGGTTTCCATGCAAAGGCTCACTCACTGGCTCAAGATCCCAACTAGCTAAGCCTTTCCTTCAGAGCTGGTCAGTGGATCCTTCCTTAAGAGCTTCCTGGGCCAGTAGTGCTCTCTTATGGGGTGACTTGACCTGAACCTTGGCACCAGCCAGCAAATGTTCATGCAACATGCACATACATGTATGTAAACCTCCACACACGTGTCCTTTGGCAGAGTTGTGCTATCCTCTGCTAACTTAACAGTGCATTGACCTGCCTCCTGGCTGGATTTGTTAATCTCCCGTAGCAAACAAACAGGGCGCCCCCAGATCTCCCACTGAAGACGAGCTTGTTTACCTGTAATCTTTTCAAATGGTCATCTCTGCACGCTCGCGTCTTGCACACCTTCAGATTCTCAGTTTGTTGAGTGCTCAGATTCCAGAACTCCCATCTGTTGGGGAAACTGAGGGAAAATTCATAGTTTTGAACAGACAGGCCCAAGCGTGGGCTTCCTTCCTGCCAAAGTCTCGGCTCTAATAGGTCCCAGTAAGAGCTGGTCAGATATAGAAGTCACACGTACCAATTCATAGTTGACACACAAGTAAGCAGCCTGTTCTCTGGAAAATATCCAGATTAAGAATTAGAATTAGAATTAGAATTAGAATTAGAATTAGAATAGAATAGAATAGAATAGAATAGAATAGAATAGAATAGAATAGAATTCTTTATTGGCCAAGTGTGATTGGATACACAAAGAATTTGTCTTTGCTGCATATGCTCTCAGTGTACATAAAAAGACAAGATACATTCGTCAAGAATCATAAGGTACAACACTTAATGATAGTCATAGGGTACAAATAAGCAATTGAATCATACTAGGAAACAGTCAACATAAATCGTAAGGATACCAGCAACAAGTTACAGTCATACCATCCTAAGTGGGAGGAGATGGGTGGTGGGAACGATGAGAAGATTAATAGTAATGCAGACTTAGTGAATAGTTTGACAGTGTTGAGAGAATTATTTGTTTAGCAGAGTGATGGCATTCGGGAAAAAAATGTCCTTGTGTCTAGTTGTTCTGGTGTGCAGTGCTCTATAGCGTCATTTTGAGGGTAGGAGTTGAAAGAGTTTATGTCCAGGATCCAAGGGGTCTGTAGATATTTTCCCAGCCCTCTTTTTGACTCGTGCAGTATACAGGTCCTCAATGGAAGGCAGGTTGGTAGCCATGGTTTTTTCTGCAGTTCTAATTATCCTCTGAAGTCTCTATAACATCGTTTTGAGGGTAGGAGTTGAAAGAGTTTATGTTCGCCCACTGAATGCACAACAGGCATGTCACAAATGAAAGTTGATGGAGAATTTTGTTGGGGATGATGAGATCTGTAGTTCAGCAACTCCTGGAGAGCTGAAGTGGTTAATAAATGATATTATTTTCACAGAAGCAATGCTAAATCAGAATGCACAGAAGCTCTTAATTCATCCTCCTGTGGCATTTAGATTTCAGATGGTCCAGGAGATGAACGATCGGAGTCTCCCTATGAAAGCACCGATGAGGGTCTCGGGGAGGTCTCTCAGCTGTCCAAGAAGTCTGACCGAGGGGCCACGGCCAGGAAGGAGTCTGTTTGTCAGGTAAGGAAGGAAGATGCTTGTCAAGCAAATTCTCTTTCCAAAAACTATTGGAAAGACCAAGTTAGGGAGAGATTATCGTGGGGGAAAATGCATTTTAAGTGGTCACTAAGAGTCAACCCTGGACTTGATAGTAGACAATTAATGCTTGTCAAGGCATGTTCTTATTTGTAAATCTGAACATTTAACATGAACAAGTAGGTTGAAATATCCATTGGACTCCCTGTACTGAAAGAGTCTGCAAATGTTCCTTTTCTCCACCGCAAGAAGCCACAGATGCCCACCCTCCACGGAAGCTCCTTCTTTAAACCGGCTGCGTGGCTGTCACGGGTCTCCCTTTGGCACGCATTCCAAGGAGGTTGAAAGTGGAGGCCTCTGCTCAATTTGTCTGATTTTTTACAAAAATAAATAAAAGGAGCCCCTTGCCCTCACAAAGAAAGGAGAGGAGGAGCCGTTGACCGGAGCTCTTCGCCTTGTAAGGTTTGTCTTTCCTCTTCTCAAGGTCTGTGAGAAGCCCGGGGAAGTGATGTTGTGTGAAGGAGGCTGTCTTGGGGCTTTCCATGCCGGCTGCTGCGGCCTCTCCGGAAGGACCAAGGGACACTTTGTGTGTGGCGAGTGCACTTCAGGCAAGTCCTCCTTTGGTGGGGATGGGCGGCCTTTGGGCGCTTCCTGTGCAAACGGTTTTCGCTCAGATCTCGCACTTACCAGAAAGCAGCGATAGGAAGCACGAAGCGTTAAAGGTTCACGCTGAGATGAGAATATAAAGGCAGTAATAATGCACCTCTCTTTCCCTGCCCTCCTTGCTCAGAAAGACAAAGATTCCTCATTCCTTTGTTTTGTACAGGTGGCCCTCAACGTACGCTTTGCAATGAACCCCCCCCCCAAAATATTTATGCCCTGGTTTCAAACATGGGGCCACTGCGGTTCTCCCTCCCCCCCCCCCCCCCCCGTCATACAAATGAAGTTTGGGCGCGATGAATAGTCGTAAGGCGAAAGTCTTAAGGATTCTGCCAGATCCAAGAACTTGGAGGCAGATTTGAGCATTTTTGGTTTATGGATTAAGTGAGCTGGAGAGACCTTGAGTTCTGTCATCCATCCATCATTGCCTGATGGGGCTGGAAGTCCCTGGCTAAGCCCTGGTTTCCCAAGAGTAAAAAGGCTGCACGTTTCCTGCTGAAAATAATTTGATCCATCCTACAGTCACCAAATCCGTTTTTCCCAAGTTTCCTTACTATTCTCTAAAAGAGATTTACAAATGTAGACATTGAATGGGGAAAGACGGATGCTTGTGAAGAAATGCCTGCGAAAAATGGGGGGTTTTTTGAAAGAAAAAAAATACGTTACTTTAATTCCAGATACTTTAATACCAACTCTAGCTCCAGTTAAGAATGAACCTGGTTCCATTCTATTCGTGAGAAATACTGAAATGTTTTAAATTTTCATTAGGTGTTCACACGTGTTTCGTGTGCAAGGAGAAGCAATTGGAAATTAAGCGCTGCATCGTATCTCACTGCGGGAAGTTTTACCATGAAGCCTGTGTGAAAAAATTTCCCCTCACCATTGTTGAAAACCGAGGCTTTCGGTGCCCTCTGCACAGCTGCGAGAGTTGCCACGTTGCTAATCCCTCAAACCCCAAAGTATCTAAAGGTATTTCCTTCTTTCCTCCAAATCTCTTCTTGGGGCCCCCGTGGTTCACCTTCAGAGGCCGCACGGCATCATGGTTGCCGATCATTACATGAGAGCTCCCAGTAGCACGAAGAGGTGCTGCATCACCTGCCATGAATAGAGGTAGTCCTCAATTTACGACCACAATTAAGCATAAAAGTTCTGTTGCTAAGTGAGGCAGTTATTGAGTAAATCTATTTAGGACAGGACAGAACAGAACAGAACAGAATAGAATAAAGAGAGTTGGAAGGGATTTCAAAAGTCTTCTAGTCCAACTCCCTGCTTTGCCCCATTGTATCTTCCAGTCCAATTTCAGGGATTGGGGTTTGGTGTGTTTCTGTTTTGGAAAGTTTGACTCACGTCTAAATGTCCATTTTATAGATATTTCCTCCCTCTGCACGTCCTCTTGGGTCTCCCTTTTGTCCTTCCCCACATAAAGCCTCATTTTGTGTCCATGTGCCTGTGTGTACCTGTCGAGAGGACACTTGTCTTTATTCCAGAGAGTAGCTCATGGAAGCCCATGGCGTCATCTGACGCTTCCCAACTCCTTGAGAACTTTGAGGTGGGCGTACTTCAACTCCCAGAATGCCCCAGCCGGCACAGCGGACTTCAATCCCGCAGCTGGCTGGGGAATTTGGGAGTTGAAGTCTGCCCACCTCAAAGTTCTCAAGGGGTTGAGAATTGCTGCCATAGTCCATTAGTTAGAGATGGATTTTTGTCGTTCCAATTCTTTTTAAGTTCCTAAGCATTTTTGCCAATATATTGTGACAAAAACGGTGTGTGCATTTTCCTTTGTACCAGGCAAAATGATACGGTGCGTTCGCTGTCCGGTGGCTTACCACGTGGGTGACAATTGTGTGGCTGCTGGATGTGCCATGCTTTCCTCCAGCAGCATTGTGTGTACCAACCACTTTACTGCCACAAAAGGGAAAAGCCACCATGCCCACGTGAACGTCAGCTGGTGTTTCGTCTGCTCAAAAGGTAAACAACTGACTTAAGAGCATTGGAACGGTTCTTCAGTGCTGTGAAGGGATGAGGTTGTGGCTCTTCAGGCTTTTCATGAAGTCTAAAGCCCCTTTATTTCTCGTGTGTGTTGCAAAAGCATTTTTTAAAAATTGATTTTGGTTCTGAATGGAACTGACGAATTTGCATGTCTAAAATGTAAGAATGGGAAGAATTCTTTTGTAACTTTCATAAGTGAGCAGGTGGGGCACAAGTCCTCCCTGCTCTCCCCCCCCCATCTTTGATTCCTGAAATCTGCTCCCAAAAATTCTCCTTTTGGTGCTGCGTAACAAACAGGGTTCAGGTGTTGTGCTTCCAGCTTTTCTTGGTCACCGAGGGAGCTGTTGATAGGAGGCCCATCTCCCAGAGTTCCTTCTGCTGCTGTTCTCAGAGTAGGTCCTAGCAAACACCGTAACCTTTGTGTAATTCCTTCTTGGTTGCGTGGATTTGGGCTTTAATCCTTAGAGTGGAACATGTCCGCATTTTTATGCTTAAAATAAAGCTTTTTTCCCCCCTTTTCCTGTCGTTGTTTTGTGCCTTTTGTTACAGGGGGGAGCCTGTTGTGTTGTGAGTCTTGTCCTGCTGCGTTTCATCCCGACTGTTTGAACATTGAAATGCCAGACGGAAGCTGGTTTTGCAACGACTGCAAAGCAGGGAAGAAAATCCATTTTCAAGATATTATTTGGGTCAAACTGGGAAATTACAGGTTTGGACTTACAAACATAATTTCAGTATTTTAAAAAAATCATTGTTCGTATCTGTGATTGTGTCTCAGCCCTCCGTGCAGCTGGGAAAGGGGGAAAGGCCTTCGATAGAGGGGCGTCTGCACCAGCAAGATCTCTGGGAGGCTGACGTTCATGTGTCCCCGAGAGAACCATAGGAGCCTCAATCTCTTCCTCTCGCTGGGTTCTTTCTGTGGCAGGTGGTGGCCAGCCGAAGTCTGCCATCCCAAAAACGTCCCCCCAAATATCCAGAAAATGAAGCACGAGATTGGAGAGTTCCCGGTGTTCTTCTTTGGCTCCAAAGACTACTACTGGACCCATCAGGCTCGCGTCTTCCCCTACATGGAAGGAGACCGGGGAAGTCGATACCAGGCCATCAAAGGAATCGGGAAAGTCTTCAAAAATGGTAAAATACCTCACCTCAATTCCTGCTGTGCGACCGATGTCTCTCGCATAGAGTCAGAATGCCGTGCTGTTCGCCCGTCAGTTGGGACTTCGGTATTTTGCTTTGCTGCACCTGGTGAGGGCACTTAGCTAAACTTGGCTGATTTCTGAAAAGCTAATCAGAGTCAGTGAGGTCGGAGGCTCTATTATTGTAATAATTACAGACAGGTGCTCCTTGACTTGTGGCCGGTCGTTTAGCAAACATTGGAAGTTACAACAGACTTACTGGGGGGCTGGATTTGAAGTTCCAAAGGTTTCCCCAGTGTCACATGGCCAAACTTCAGGCGCGCCGTACATTGTTGTAAAACTGCCTCCAGCAAACCATTGGCTCATTTAATCAACCACTGTGGTTACTTAATGACTGCCACAAAATATTGTTGTAAAATCGAGACCAGTCACTCCATTACAGTCGTAAATCAAGGACTACCTCTACGCAGCTGGGTGAAATCACAGCTGCCAGTCCTTTAGCTGGCATTGGTCTTCAGACGCATCGCGTTCTTCCCAAGAACCTACAATGTTGTGATGTATGGATACAATAGAGATGCGGATCCAAGCAGTTAATGAGATAGAGGCCTATTCTTATAGGAAATACGTGTAGTTGTAACTTTAATAATTTTTTTTAAAGCTTTGCAAGACGCAGAAACACGCTTCCGAGAGATAAAATTTCAACGGGAAGCCAAAGAAACTCAAGAAAATGAACGCAAGCCTCCCCCTTACAAACATATCAAGGTGAGTTGCTTTGAAGGACGGGGCTGGTCCCTCTCTGACCCCCAGGTTAGTCAGTCCGGTGATGGGCCCAGGATGTTCTGGGGTGAAGGAGGTCCCATAAAAGTAGAGGAAGTGCCAAATACACGCCAGTGTGGAGGGCTAACGTGGGTCAGTGAGTTTGGGTCGGGGCCTTTTGGGGGGGCGGATGGTAACCAGTGCCGGTTCTTTGACATGCCAGGTCAATAAGCCCTTCGGGAAGGTCCAGATCTACACGGCGGATATTTCGGAGATCCCCAAGTGCAACTGCAAGCCCTCCGATGAAAACCCCTGCGGCCTCGACTCCGAATGCCTGAACCGGATGCTGATGTACGAATGCCACCCGCAAGTGTGCCCGGCCGGGGAGCGCTGCCAGAACCAGTGCTTCACCAAGCGCCAGTACCCCGAGACCAAGACCATCCGGACCGAGGGCAAAGGCTGGGGCTTGGTCGCCAAGAGGGACATTAAAAAGGTAGGGGTTATGGGGGTTGGAGTACCTCACGGGAGAGGCCCAGCCGTGGGAGCAAGAATTCCTGAGGGGCCTTTTTAGGCGCTTATTTCTTCCTGTGGTTTACATCCCATCTTTTTTTCCCCCTGTGGTTCAAGATGTAAACACAGGTAGTCCTCGACTTACAACAGTTCATTTAGTGACCAATCGAAGGATTGAAAAAAAATTACTTAGGAATGTTTTTCACACTTACAACGGTTGTAGCATCCCTGTAGTCACGTAGTCAAAACTCGAGACGCTTGGCAACTGACTGGTATTTACGACGGTCATAGTGTCCCAGGGTCACGTCATCCCCTTTCGCAACCTTCTGACAAGCAAAGTCAGTGTGGAATCCAGGTTCACTTAACAACCGGGTTACTAATTCAGTGACTGCAGTGATTCACTTAACAGCCATGGCAAGGAAGATCGTAAAATGGGACAAAACTCACTTCGAATGTCTCACTTAGCAACATAAATTTTGGGCTCCGTTGTGGTCGTAGGTCGAGGACTATCTGTATATGATATAAAGGCCAGGAAAAAGGAGCTTGAAGAGAGCCCAAAATACGCAGCCTTTGGGATCTGACTTCATGGTTATCAAGGGAAAAACTGGCCAGGTTTGGCAATTGTGCGGAGCCGCCGTGTCTCCCGGTTTCCTTCCGATGGGCAGCTGTGACTTTGTGCCCTGCAGGGTGAGTTCGTGAACGAGTACGTTGGGGAGGTGATTGATGAAGGAGAATGCATGGCCAGAATCAAATATGCTCATGAAAATGACATCACGCACTTTTACATGCTCACCATCGATAAGGTACCGTATTCTGACCAGGCTTAGCTTGGCACCGACTTTGACCTTAGATGTTAACCCTGGCATCTATAAACACTGGAATTGATCAGCTTGCTTTTTATTCAGGACTTCGGGGGGGGGGGGACCTGCCTCAAAAACACCCATCAAAAAGCCTATTGATCAGCCCCGCTTTGGCTGAAGAATGAGTTCAAATATCTGGGTAGAAACTCGGGGAACGGGAAGCGGTAATATTTCTTTGACACCCAATTTTGAGTTAGGATTAATACTGCAATCCTGGTGAACAATATGCCATTATGTGTAATGCCAGTCACTTTTATGTAGAGGTGTATTGGATTACGCTCCAAATTGACTATAGTAATATTCCAATAATACAATCTGAATTGTAGAAGAGAAGCTTGGCGTTATACGTTGGCTCCGTATCTTTCATCTACAAATGCTTTTGTCCAAAAAGGCTGCCGAGGCTTCCACTTCACCTATCATTTCTGAATGGGCTAATAATTGTTGAGAACCTCAACAATTACAGAAGGAGTTTTGCTTGTCTTCTTGCTCTTTCGTATTCCAAGGACTGGAAATACTGAGCGCCAGTATCTCTATCCTCCCTGCCTTTCAAGAAAGGTTTGTTTTTAAAAACAGGAAGAAACCCAATTTCTTTGCATTCTCCATTGAAGATGCAAAACAAAAAAATTTCTCTGTGAAATTCATCTCGAGACAAGATAGCCAAAGAAAGAAACCGTCCCCTCCTTTCCCAAGCTAAACCGAAGAATAATTATATTTCTGACACATTTTTTGTATGTTTCCCAGGTATCTTAATTTAGCTAGGTGGTGTGACATTGCTGTAAGGCAAAATTAGTCAAATCAGAACTGTTGAGCTCTAAAATTCTAGATTTCTCTCCAAGGGTGCTTTCTTGAAGCGTGATAAAATGTACACGGATTACAGATTTAAGTTTGTCAAGGAAGAACTAACTGCCACCCGCGGGACTAAGTCTCTGTTTCTGTTGAAAGGGTGCTGCCGTTGATCAGATTTTTGCTTGAATCCTTCAATTTCCAGGACCGCATCATCGACGCTGGGCCAAAAGGGAACTATTCTCGCTTTATGAATCACAGCTGCCAGCCCAACTGTGAGACCCTGAAGTGGACGGTGCACGGAGACACCCGCGTGGGCTTGTTTGCCGTCTGCGACATTCCTGCAGGTACCAGCTGCTCTTCTACCGTCAGTGTTATTTTCCTTAAAAAGAAATCAAACCTTAAAACCTGTTTGGAAAGTTTCTTCTATTGACCGCAGCTGAAACATCCTCCGAGCTTCTTGCCTGTGCTTAACTCGCCCTCTTCACGTAGCAGAGCAGCCACAAACAAGATTTTTTAAAAAAAATTGGTTTAACAAAGCTGCGAAGCTGTGGGGCTTTTCCCAAGCTACTCTTGTCGATTGGCCAAAACACAACCCTTCCCTCTGCGATCCGATCTTCCAAGGATGCCTGGAAGCCTTAAAAGTCAGGCAGCCCCCAAATGCCCCCCTTGGGCTCGGACCCTGAGCCCGGTGGTTTTTTCCTGTTTGCAAGACCTCTCTGGCCTTTGCTATCACCAGTTGCTCAAGCTCATTTGCTCTCTCCCCCTGTGGGAAGACCAACTTAAGCAACGTTAAAATCCTTACAGGCAGTCCTCGACTTATGACCATATTTGAGCACACATCTGTTTATTAATTAGTTTAATTAAATTAAGCATCCTCTGTTTGGTGAGGCCTGGTCTCTTGATCTCTTCAGTGTTCCTGGCCTTCAGGGCACCAGTGGCTTTCCCCCCCCCCCCCCATGCATTACGTTTAAGTTACAGGGGTGGTTAAAAAAAAGAGAGAGAATCTTGTCAGACAAATCTCTGCTTCAAGTCCACAACTGAGGACCCAGATTGTGGGGGCAATAAGCTGACTTTGTATAAATATACAAAAGGATGAAGGCTATTGCTGAGCACATTGTAAGCCGCCCTGAGTCTCCGGAGAAAGGCGGCATATAAGTCAAATTAAAAAAAAAAAGTCCTTGAATTTTAAGCTTCAAAACCTCCTCAGGGAGAAGGAGAGATGTTGGAAAAACTTGGTGTCTCCCATCTTGTTCCAGTCTATCAGTTGAAGATCCAACTCTGGTCTATGGAGGCTCTCAGTCATCCAGGTCAGGGTTGTCCCAAAGGGGCTTTTTGCCGTTTGAAGAGGCCCCTTTGGGTCGCCCAACTTTTGCAAATCCAGATGGGCCTGGATGGTCTTCATAATAGCTCAGTTGGAGATCTTTCCCCCAGGCCAGCAATGGAAAGCTATCCAAATTCACTGCTCGAACAATGATCAGGTGAATTGAGTGACCCCTGATCCTGTTTTATCTGTTGGCCAAAGAGATTTATGTCCATCTCAAGAAGATTTCAAGTCTGAATTCTGAATGTCTTAGCTTTCAAAAGCCAAGCTCTAAGGCATTTCCAGCAGAGGGACAAAATTCTGTGCCTTGTGGTTAGCACAGCCCATAGGTTCTTGGCACAGGACTGTAGGAAGTATGTCCGTGTGTGCACCTGCCTCTCTTTGGATCGAGTGGGGCGTGGGTGTGTTTTGGTTTCTTTGACGTCTTCCTCCTCAGTCATCCTGGGGTGAAATGGGAACATCCTTTGGGAAAGGAGCCAATGTTCCTGTTCTAATGATGGTTACAATAAAATTCCCCTCTTGTTTTCCCCTCAGGGACAGAATTAACCTTCAATTACAACCTTGACTGCCTGGGCAATGAAAAGACGGCGTGTAAATGTGGTGCTCCGAACTGCAGCGGCTTTCTTGGAGACAGACCAAAGGTATCTCTGCCAGCACACGGAGGAGGGCCCATCCCGTGTTGGCCTCTGAGTAGCCTTGCATGGGGTATCCTAAGGCAAGAGTTGTTGAACTAAGGCTCCTCAATACAAACTAATTTACAGAATGTGCCCAAAATCTGGAACCCCTTAACTGCCGATGAATTTTGGCAAATTTTAAAAAACATTTTGTGATGTAAAAAAATATATATCACCATAAAACAATTTATGGCGTAATGCAGTATGTCAAAGAACGTTTCCTGTGGTCAACTCCTGATATTTGACACTGCAGTACAGGTGGTCCTTGGCTTATGACAACAGTTGAGCCCAAAAGTTCTGTTGCTAAGCAAAACAGTTGTTAAGTGAGTTTTGCCCCATTTTATGACTTTTCCTGCCACACTTGTTAAGGGAATCGCTGTGGTTGTTTAGCAACATGGTCGTTGAGTGAACCTGGCTTCCCCCATTGATTTTGCTCGTCAGAAGGTCGCAAATGGGATCGCATAACCCCCGGACACACTGCGACCGTCATAAATACGAACCAGTCGCCAAGAATCCGAATTTTGATCACGTGACCCTGGGGGTGCTGCAACAGTTGTAAATGTGAAAAATGGTCATAAGTCACTTTTGTCAGTGCCGTTGTAACTTTGAACAGTCACTAAACGAATGGTTGTAAGTTGAGGACCACTTGAACTGTTCAACATGGGATACTGCAGACAACTGGTCATTTGCATTTTTGGGGAGAGAGGACACGGAGAAACCTCCAAGTGGCCTCAATGACTCCAAAAAGGATGCAAAGGACCAGCTGTCTGCAAGGAGTATCAATCCTTCCCTTCCCCACCATCCAGTCAGAGCTGAAGAAGCTTCTTGGATGAGGAGCGAAACAACTTCAAAAGAAAACAAACACCCCAGAAAGTCCAGTTGCCTCTTGAGAAAAGCACCTTTGGGACCCCCAAGAATTGTGTTTAGTGGAGGAGTCTTCAGTAAAATTACAAAATTTAAGGAGGGAAGAGAAGAGTGGATGATTTTGGCCTTTTGGCTGTCCGGTGCTTCTCTTTGGTTCTGTCTTGCACGGCCATTTTCAGTCACCACATGAGAAACATTTTGCAAGAGGGTTCCCCACAGGTTTTATAATTTGAAATGGCTAAAAAACAGAGGGGGAGCTTCTTAAAGACTGCACTAATCTCCTAATCTGCAAAACGGAAACATTATTTTTATTATTATTTTTATTAAGAATTCATCCTCCAGCGCCTCAGAAGAGAAAGGAAAGAAGACCAAAAGAAGAGCAAGAAGGCGTAAAACGAAAAGCGAAGCCAGGAAAAAAACGGAGGATTACTGTTTCCGCTGCGGGGACGGAGGGCAGCTTGTCCTGTGTGACCGGAAGTCTTGCACCAAGGCTTATCACCTCTCCTGCCTTGATTTGGTAAAACGTCCTTTCGGTGAGTAAGAAGGAAGCATTAAGATAAGCCTCACTTCCGTAACAAGGATTTTGGATCCTTGTAACCAGGATCATAATCAAGCAAATCCCAAGTTTAGAAGGAGTTTTCCTACGGTTAAGCGTTGACTCTGGTGCTTAAAATGTGGCTAAGCATCTCCGGCTGAATTGGTCCAAGGTAGAGCAGTAAGAAGGGAAAGGCCCATGTGGTTTTGTTGAGTGACTTGAGATGGGAGAACCGTTTAACCTGTTCTCTACGTGTGTACTCCTGCATGCCAGCGACATGAGAGGGGCCAGATCAGATGTCGAACCGTTAAGCTCAACAGAGCCATGTTCACCCGTCTTAGGGAGAGGGTTGTTGTTTTCATCGTCCTTGGAAATGATAAGCAGAGACTCATGGAGAGGAAACACGGCTCCAAAGCGAAACTGCGCATTGTTAAGCTAATCGTAGTTTATTCAGCGGGAAGGAAAATTCATTAAAGAGTCGCTCTCTGAATGTGTGTGTATAGCTTTAAACACTTTTTAAATAAAATGCTTCTTTTTCATTTTAAGTTGTCTTTAATTGGTTCTTGTCCACCACTTCGATAGCAGTCCTGTAGTCAGGGAGATAAAGAACGTGGACGCAGTTCAGTTCGCTGGCTGCCTTCTTCCAGTTGGTTCAGGTTGAAGCGGACACGGAGCCGAGGTCCTGGCAAATGTTTCCGAGTTGACCTTTTCTCCTCTTTGTCTTTTCTTCCTTCCCACGGCAGGCAAGTGGGAATGCCCCTGGCATCACTGCGATGTGTGTGGCCGGCCCTCTGTGTCCTTCTGCCATTTCTGTCCCAATTCCTTCTGCAAGGACCACCAAGAGGAGGCCATGCTGGAGCACAACTGGAGCGGACAGTTGTTTTGCCCCGACCACAGCGGGGAGAACTTCGCGGAGAAGAAAGCCAGGCGGCCTCCTAGAAAACTTTCTTCAGTCAAATGCAGACGGCAAAGAAACAAGTGGAGGAGGACATAATATTAAGAGGAACAAACTCTCCCCGCCAGCGCCAGTCCCGCTTGCCCAAGTTTGTCTTGTAAATAAGTTGTGAATAGGGTCAGGGAAGGACACACTTTTACACGTCTTGCGCAAGGACTGGGGTTGTGGGGAGGGGAGCGATTTTTAAACCCACTGAGCCAACCGGCGGCAGGGCCCCTGCTGCATCTGCACTGATCATGAACTCTGGCCTGCCAAGTTCAGACATTTCAGGACAAACCAGGTTTTCTCTCCAGAAACAATGAGAATACTTGAACTGTTAGGAATGAAACAGTTCTTCCCCGCCGCTTCCTAAATGGAGGCGTGTTGATTTCCGACCGGCGACGGTGTATCTGGACAGTCTTGTAGCTTTTGAAATAGTAGCCGCCACCACTCGGAAGCGTTTCGATAGAGAGGGCGAGAGAGAGAGAGAGAGACCTTGATTAGCCCAACGGGGTGAGATCCGCTTGACAGGATCGCATTAAATAAGGGGGGGCGGGCAGGGGGAAGTGTCGTACCATGGCTTTTGATTTTGTTTTGTTGTTTTAATTGTGATAACATTCTTCTATCAAGACAAGGAAGCAGCAGACCTCTTGAGCCCGTGGCAAGCTTCAGAAGAAGAGTCCGGTCATCTGTGCCTCAGGTCAACTGTTTTAGTTGCAATAAGCAAAAAAAGAATTGCATTACCAGTGTCCTCCTTTAAATGGATATTAAAATCTGTGCCCAATTTTTTAGATCGTATTTGCATAATAAAAGTATTTCAAAATCAAACCCATTTGAGGTTTCTTTTGAGAAGTAGACAGGAATAAGCATCAAAATGATGCTGGAAACAAAACTAACTCTTGAGGCGCCCTTCCCTCGCTGGTTTTTTTTCATCCATCTTCTGGCTAAAAACAGGGTTTGAAGCCCAACACAGAGAGACATTTTAGTGGCCAGGAAGCAGGTGAAAGGGAGCCATCGCTGGCATCCCAAGCGGCTCCTGGTCGCTTCTCCTTCAGGAACGCATTGTGGGGCTTTTGTAGATCATTTTCTCCATGGACCCTGACAGGATCCAGGCCATTATTTTAACCTGGTTCACCTTTTGCCTGCTTCTCCTCCTCACACACCCAGTTGAATCCCAGTCTGTTCCGTTTTCAAGAGTTGCTGTGCTGGTGGGCAGGAGGAGTGAATCCCAACTTCCTTTATATAAGGAGGAAGGTGTTCCTGCATTCTTTAGGAGTGTTGCAAAGATATGAACAGAAGTAGTGCATTACAGAGTTTCACATCTGTCATGGAGCGGGTTTTGATAAAATCCTTCAGCAAAGTTTCATGATAGGAAAATTATAGGAGAGCCATGCTATGCCACAGTAGGTAAAATACAGATTGCCTTTTGAGATTACAGATTTTGTTTAAAAACCACCTGAGCTTTTGTGAACTGCATCTCGCTTCCTAAAGTACCTAGAGTGGTTGAGTAGATGCAAGACTTTAAATAGAATTGGGGGACAGAAAAGTCCTTCCCTCAATGCTGTGTTGAAACTTTACACCCTTTGAATTGCCAGCGGTCTCTTGGCAGCCAGCACTTCCATTCGCTCAGCTTGTTCGGTGGACTAGGGTCTAAAGAGAATTACCCTTGAGTTAGCGCATCATTTGGGCTCGCACTCGGGATCCAGGGTCAAGGATGCCAAATAACAACACCACTGGGGTAAGAAGAAGAAAAATGTACTTAGAAAAATCTGAACTTTATTACAGATATTATGCCGAAAATACGTACTCAAGGACATGAGGTTTTGCATTTACATCTGTACAAAAAACAAAATAGATAGAAAACATCTGGCCTGCTCTACTAGATAGGCAACATTTTACAAAACAACATTGCTTGTTAAAAAGGTACCAGAATCCCAAGGTCTTGGGGCTCAATTCCTAGCCTTGCCTTTTCTCTTCTGTTGGTGGCGGGGGGGGGGGGCACAGCGAGGAAAACCCCAAGGCTGCCAAGGACTTCTGGGGCCCCCTTTGCTAGCTGGAAGGGTGGGAGGGAAGCTGCGGGTTTGTTTCAACAGTAACTCTTCAGCTTGCCTGATGCTCGTGGCTGTTGGATACTAGAAATAATCTTAACAGCTAGAATTGAGACTCTAAAACATCTTTTTTCCCCCTCCCTGGGGGAAAAGATCAGAACCGCGGATAGGACTGGCCATTTGTCTTTTTCTGAGTTCCTTCTAAGCCATGCATGACAACTGAAGGGCCTCGTTGCCCTGAGGAGCCTGGGCGCCTGCTGTGTCCCTTTCCGGCCTGCCTTGCCAGGGCTGCTTTCTAGCCCTCTAACCTACAAGCGCCAGGCACAGGACCAGGGATGCACCGCTGAAGTTCTTCCTGGACAGATGCAGCCCTTCACTTCCACATACAGCATCGGCACCTGCCAGCCCAAATCAGATGTTAAAAAACCAGAGGAGGAAGAGCTTCCCAAGAGCTCAGCAAAGACAAGGATCCATAAGAATGTTGTCTTTGAGGACCCATGAGATTATTTCTGGGTTGCTCCATCAGGAGTTTCACGCCCTTCCTTGCACGGACTCTGAACGAAGAAGACTTCTACGTCAAGGAAGAGCTCTGGCTGGGCAGGCAGGGCAGGGCAAGCCTCCCCCACACCTCACAACAAGGCAAAACCGCTCTCAGATATGCCAGCTTCACACAAGCCATCTTATTATTTTGAAGTCATCTGAGCGAATTCCACCACAGAAGGACCACATGGCTGCCACTGCTACTAACGGGAGGGAGGGAGGGAGGGAGGGTGGCCGCCACTCTGGAGTCAAAGCCCTGCCCCCACACAAGCCCTGTGTGACCCGTTCAGATCACACAACTGTGACACCGGCTGGACTTTCTTTGGCACCCACCCCCCACCCCCTGGCTAAATACTCTAGGAGGGAGGGGAGGGGGTGACACCTCCCTTATTTAAGAGCAGAACCACAAACACCTGCTGGTTGGTATTGCTCCAGGTCTTCCCAAGGCTTCTGCAGGAAACTGCAGTCTTAACTCCAAATCAGGTTTCCAAATCAGGTAAAAGAGGAACTGTAAGGTACTCCAGAGATGGCCAGCAAACAGTTAATATTGCCTTTGCCTTTGAACACGCTAGGACACGTCACGCTACATGCCAGCAGAAGGGGGGAGAGGCTTCCAACGTTAAAAGAACGCGGCCTCTTAAACTAATCTGAAGAAGCCATGTTGATACTGCATAAAACTGACAGAATTTGGAAAAACTAGTCCTGTGGTTTAAAATCCTGCTTCTAGGTTCAGGTCTGGCTGAAATGTTAAATCAAATGAAGCTGCACAAGAATCTCTTCTGAAACCTTTGGGGGGCTTTTCTGGTTCCGGTTGGCCCACTGAGTAGAATTTAGAAACAAACTCAATTCAGGTACATTACAAGAAAACCTCAAAGGCAGCCCATCCCCCCCTCCCCCTTTCCAGTTTAGGATTCTCCAGAGGGGCTCAGGATTTCGTTTCCAGCTGCAGTTTGGCCAAGCCTTCGTTCTTCCTCTCCCAGCCCAAAGAGCTTCCCTTGGCCTTCAACTGAAAAGGAAATCTCCTACCCTCTGCCTAACAATTCCAATGGACAGAAAGGAATTCTTTATTCTTAAAACTCTTCCTCTGCATAAATGACTAAACTATGGAGCTGCCAATTCTTAGACTTCAAAGGCTGACAAGTAAACTAAGGAGCCCAGAAACAAAGAAAACTGCTCTAAGTGGCCCTCAGAGAGACCTTTGCAGTAAGGATGTCCCTGCAGCCCTGCCTGATCACCCATCTCAGATCATCCTTCAAAGCAGGGAAGGAGGCCTCATTATGGTTTTGACTTGCTTCAGTGGGAATGAGATTCCCCAAAAGCTTCACCGTCTTATGACATCCACCATATCAATCTTTAGCAAATGCAGTCTGGTCATCCATCATGCAAGGGAATCCTTTGAGGTCTTGGAATTACCGTGTTTCTCAGGAAATAAGACCGAGTCTTATTTTCTTTTAGACTTCAAAAGAAGCATTTGGGCTTATTTTCGAGGCGGTCTTACTTTTTTTTGAGGTGCAGCAGGCCAGACTCAGTGAGTCTGACGTGCCGTCGCCTCCATTCCGAACCTTCAGCGTTCGGAATGGAGGCTTTTTCGTGAAGGGGAGGAAAATGGGGAGGGGGATTTTCCAGCCTGCCTTCCTTCCCTCAGTCTGTGCTGAGCTTGAGGAACGGATGACAGGCAGCAATATTCCCCTCCCCATTTTCCTCCTGTTCGCCAAAAAAGCCTCCCGCGAGCCTCCCAAAGAGAAGGAAAAAGCAAAGCAGCTGGCCGTGGAGCTGCCAGCTTCAGGGAAGTGGCCCAAAAAGCAGAAGTGCCACGCCCAGAAAGAGAACGGCAAAAGCGGTATTTGTGCTGCCCCAAGGGGCCAGTGGGCTGCAGCTGGACAATTGCGCACACACTCACCCCGCATGCCTCCCCTCGTGCTGGCCATGCCCATCCCCCCCCGGGCTTATTTTCAGGGTAGGGGTAATATTAGGCCCTCCCCCTGAAAATTAGGGTTGGGCTTATTATTGGGGCGGGTCGTGTTTTTGGAGAAACACGGTAGCTACGTTAGCCTGAAGCACCCAATTTCAAATGCTTGGAATTTAACCATTTTAAGAGTACTCAGAAGTTGATGTTGCTCATTCAACTTCAACACGAGGGAAGCTTTGGTGCCACTAAGATTGTAAGCTTTGGGGGTCACCCTTTTTTGTGTGTCCGTGTTAAAAGGTAACCCCTTTATGTGACTAATGCATGTACATACACTCGGGGGGGGAAGGGGGGGCTGGCTGTTCTCAAGGAAAGGAAGGTTTACTATTTGTGCAATCTTGAGAAGCAGAAGAAAGAGGGAACATCCTACGGGCCTTTCACGGTGCCTCAGAAAAGGCCCCCCAAGGAGGGCCGCCCCAAATGACAAACGCTACTTGCAGGGAAAAAAAGAAAAGAAACGGCCCAAATCGCAGAGCCTATTTTTAACAAGAGAACTGAGAAAGTCAACCGAGGCCCCTGCTGAGAAACGGCTCCTCCCTTTCTGTCCTTTCTCAAGGCAGGCAAGTCAGAAGCCCCTTTTCTGCCAAACGGCTGGAGGCCATGAGTCACCGCATCCTTCCACAAGCCTACGATCAGGAGAGCTGCGTGGCCATGGCCTCTCGCCTTCCTACTTTGGCCAAGCGCAGCTGGGACACGGGCTGCTTACAAGAAGTCCTACGCGGGAATGTCGTTCTGCTTTAGCTGACACACAACGTACAAGCTGGCTTTATTCTAGGATCTATTTGGTCTACATCTCCCCGCCACGGAATTCTTTAAGAAACATTTGTCATGGGCTTGTACTTCGTCAGACGGCTCCACTCGCCGGTGGCATAGTTCATCTCAAAGATGGTGTCCACCAGCACGGTGGTGCTTCCGGTCCCGTCGTCATTCGGCAAGACCTCCGTGTGCTCACTTAGTTTGATCTGGATGACGTCGCCGTGCTCTTGACATGGGTTTTCTAGGGAGGAGAAATCAGAGATCCCAAAATCAGGTCCCTTCGAGGAATTGAGTGACGCCAGAAATACCATTTAGGGCAAAAACTAAGAAGGAAACCCGATCCTTCCCTGCCAGGTGCCCCAGCGCTCTTCAGCTGGCTCCTGTTCCTTCCTGCGAGGGGCAACCTTTGAGGACCAATCTCAACCTCGATGAAAGCAGTCTGACCTTCCCAACTACTTTATTTAAACTAAGTTTGCATATCGGTGATTACATGACCCTTGTAGACACTGCGCGCTAAGTAAAAGAAAACCTCCTTAACTGCTAAATTCTGATTCTTTGCCTGAAAAATTCTGGTAACTAAAATGTTTTCTCAGTGATATTTATTTAGTGAAACTCCAGGAGAAGATAGGTTGACCGCTGGTGTTTCAATCAAAGAAGGCCCTGTCTTAAAAAGGACCAAAATACTCTGTAATAAATCGATTTATAAAACAACTACATTTTTTCCTATCTAGATCTACATCTAAATGTTATACAAAAAGACCACTAAACATTATTTTAGATAAAGTTATAGATTATCCTTATTCCCAATCAATCAAATTACTTAGCAATTGGGCACTGTCTGGGCTTCAGAGTTTAGTGACCTGTTTAGCGACAGGGAATCATTGGCATCACAAAACGTGGTTTCCACAGCACGCTGAGAGGCACGTAAGAGGCACCGAAGAGGAGGAGAGCCCAAAAAATTATCAGTAGCAGAGGATGAGCTGCTGGGCTGTGCCACAGAATGATCACAAAATTCCATTCAAGGGCACACATGTGCCCTCAACAACTTCAGATCATTAAGTCTGCCTGCCACTGAGATCCACAAACATCCTATCAAAGTCAACCAGGAAAATCTGAGGCTTAAAGCAGGAGCAATCACGAATCACCCCTCCTCCTCCTTCCTCCCCACCCCCCACCCCCAGGGCAAATCACGAGACTTCCCTGGAAAAGAACCCAATCAGGACTCAAGACTCTCAGATTAACCCACCGGAACCTGGCATCAAGGCAACAAATCAGAGACCAGCACTCCAAAAATGACCCAAATTTTGCCTCTTCCAGTATTGGCTTAGCAATCCTTCAGAGAGGAAGGTCACCCAGGTACCCACCTCTGGATCCCGCCATGAATCCAAGGATGAGAGCCTTCTCAGGCCTTGTAACTTTGTTTGCCATCTGGAATATTTCATGGGCTGCAAACAGTTGCTCCTTCTGCAATGAATTTCAAGAATATATTCCATTGAAAACAACAGGAGGAAAACCATTTCCACAGGGCTGAAACTCCCACCATCTTCACCGTTTTTCTCTCAGACACCCTCCCCCCCGCAGTCCTGTTTCCCTGTAAATTGGAACATTTTAATACTTTTCGTCTCTTGGGGCACCTCCCAGGACCCCGGACAGCTAGTAACGCAGCCCCACCAGATAATAAAAGGCATCAAAATGTAAATGAGGTTTGTTATTGATATGCATTAACTATATTATATATTTTATATGTGGCCCAAGACAATTCCCCTTCTCTCAACATGGCCCAGGTGAGTCAAAAGGTTGGACAACCACGATCTGATGGAAAATAACTGCCCACAACTGCTTCTCTTCAATAAACCCATCAATTGGAGGGGATGACGAACAGTAACGGTCTTGCATGACAGGCACGCCCTCCATCCACTGGCTCTTTTGTAGGGGCGATTTTAAAGAACAGAACAAAGCCTATGAACAGGCCTACAACACGCAAAATTGTTTACTGATTGGTTTCCTTGCTTTATTAAATTTATTTGCCACCCATCTCCCTACCCAGAGCAACTCTGGGGGGCTTAATGCTGCTGCCATGCCTGAAAAGACAGGAATTCTTTAAGCCCTGCCGAGCCACAAATTCTGCCACTCGGGCTGCATTCACCATCCGCATTTGTGTTAGGGTCAGACCTAAACCATGGAACTCACACCCCAAATAGCTACAAAGCAGGATGCATACAAGCCTGGCCTGAATTTTTCCTGTCTATCGGGGAAACAAATCAGCAACGCGGGCCTTTGCGTTTCTTCCTTCCCACCCACTAATCCCCAACCGCGACTGGACGGGCTGCACGAGATGCTTACTGTGAGAGAGAGCGCCTTCTTGGCAGAGGCATCCTGAGGAGCGGCTGGTGGTCCCTGCATTGCCGGAGAGGTCACCGGAGGAGACAACGGGGACTCAGCGGTTGGGGCTGCCGCTGCTGCCGTTGCTGCCGCTGCTGCCGCGGTGGTAGCAGTCAGATTCAAGTGACTATTGTACATGGGCGTCCGTTGCTTAAACTGAGCCACCGGGAGAGCAGGGGGGGTGGCGGCGGCCGAAGCAGCTTCTTCCTTAGCTTGCAGGGGGTCCCAGATGGAGCCAGCTGGATGTCAGGACAAACAGGCTGTGAGAGTAGAAGGGCTCATTAAGGCATACCTGTCGTATCACCTCCCTGCTCCTGTTCTCCTCCTCCTCCTCATTCTTCTACCGAACTTCGTACAGCAACGTTACACGTTCGCTTCTTATGCAGCACAAAAAGTCCACGGCCACCACAAATTCCTTTAAAAAGCGTCCCACGTGGATCGTTTTTCCTTAATCTGAATTCTTGTGGCGACCCCGGGCCGGGGCTTATTTTCAGCACAGAATTCTAAGCTGCAAACAGCTGCACGGAACTAAGAACAAATCTACAGGAAAATCACCAACACGTATTCAGACTTATATGCTAAGGGGGCAAGAGGGAACCATCCCGGCAAACACCGAGAAGACGCCCGAGGAATTGAGCTTAGGAAGATCATTTCACAACAATAACATATTCCCAGAGAAGTCAGGCAATATAGCAATAGCAACAGCACTTAGACTTATATACCGCTTCACGTGCTTTCCAGCCCTCTCTAAGCGGTTTACAGAGTCAGCCTCTGGCCCCCAACAATCTGGCTCCTCATTTCACCCACCTCAGAAGGATGGAAGGCTGAGTCAACCTTGAGCCTGGTGTGATTCGAACTGCCAAATTGCAGCCAGTCAGCAGTCAGCAGAAATACCCTGCGGTACTGCACTCTAACCACTGCACCCCCACAGCTCAGAGTGTTTGCCTCGTTTACCTTCTCCAGGTTCTGCTTCTTCCTCAAATGTTATTTTCATTGTTATCAGAACTTTTTGGCTTGGGACAAAACGTTCTTCAAAGACAGCAGCCTTCCCACGGTCTCTAAGCCAAACTCTGCAATCCCTTCATGCAACCCTGTGTTTACACTGTCACTTAAACCAGGGGTGGGCAACTCTGGCCCTTTTATGACTTGTGGACTTCAACTCCCAGAATTCCTGAGCCAGCCATGACTTAAACCATCCACCCAGATGCTGAAGACACAAGGGGGGGGGGGTGTCACTCACCTGGCTGGGGGTCAGAGCCTGGGACATAAGAGGAGGACGGCACCGCACTGGGCGCTGCAGGCAGGTAACTGGTCGAAGCGAGTGCCGGGTCGTTGTTCAGGGAAGCAAGTTTCTGCAAAAGGACCACACACACGTACACAACCCCACTTCAGAGTAGGAAAACAGCCCTTTCGCTACGTTCAGCCCTCCATCTGTCCAAGTGACTAGACTAAGGCAAAAAGTCACAATGACAACACTGGCCCGTATCAAACTAGTAAATTTAAATGTCATTTGAAACCATACAAGGAAGAACCCCATCCAGCGAAAGTTAATTTAAAAACAGCAAAAAGCTAAAAAAAGAAAGGCCCAAATATGCCAAACGGCCTTAAGTGCCGAAAAATATCCTAACGATATTACATTTATTACCTGAACACCTTTCCACAAACAGGCCAGGAAAGTCAGTTTCCAAAAGGAAGCCCTGGCATTTCAGAGAGGAACCTGGCCAGCCAAAGACTGTTTGAAGTTACGCACTTGTTCTATTAGTTGGGGAGTAACTTAAAAAGAGGCCTAAAAAAAAACCTTTCCATTAAAGCCGTACCTGGGTTGACACAAGCCCAGCAGCATAATCTGGAGTAGCATTTTCTACGACTGTCTCCTCCTTGGCTTGCTTGGCCACCACGTCTGTATCTGCAGAATGAAAAATGCAAACTAATTCTACCGTTTGGGTTTTTTAAACGGATTGCTCCAACCCAATAACTTTGTTCTTCTAGGAAAGCGGCCCAAGCAGAGGGCTCCATTAGGAGCCTTAACAAAAGCAAGAATCCGAACATCATGCATACAGGGAATCCTCAACTTACAACAGTTCATTTAGCAACCAAAGTTACACCGGCACTGAAAAAAGTGACTTATGACCATTTTCCACATTTATGACCGCTGCAGCATCCCCCGTGGCCACGTTATTTACCCTCAGACCAGGGGTGAAATGCTCCCGGTTCAGACTGGATCGCCCGATCCGCTGGCGATGGCAGCGGATGGTTTGGAGAACCGGTAGCAAAAATCCCCGCCCCCTCCCCCATGCCCAGCTGAGCCACACGATCATCAGAGGGTTTTTAAAAAAAAAAAAAAAAAAAACTTTTAAAAGCATTTTTTCTACCACCTCTTCAACCAAAAAAATGCTTTTAAAAGTTTTTTTAAAAAAGCCTCTGATGATCGCGCAGCTCAGCTGGGATCGTCAGAGGCTTTTCAAAGCATTTTTTCTACAACCTCTTCCACCAAAGAGGTTATAGAAAAAATGTCTTTAAAAAGAAAAAAAAAAAAAGTTGGCCACGCCCACCCAGTCACATTACCCACCAAGCCACGCCCACAGAACCGGCAGTCCCCAGCGTCCCATTTCCCCCCTGCCTCAGAGGCTTGGAAAGGAGACTCCTGTTTATGAGGGTTGCAGAGTCCCGGGGTCACGTGATCCCCTTTTGCGACCTTCTGACAAGCAAAGGCCATGGGGAAGCCAGATTCGTTTAACGGCCGTGTGACTAACTAAACTGCCGTGATTCACTTAACAACTGTGGCCAGAAAGGTTGTAACATGGGGCAAAACTCACTTAACAAATGTCTCACTTAGCAACAGGAATTCTGGGCCCAATTGTGGCCGTAAGTCGAGGACTACCTGTATTGTACACGATCACACTCTATTTTGCAACATTTTATGCTCTGCATTCCTCACGGGATCCTTCCTTTCTCTGCTCACCTGAAGCGGGGGCCGTGGGAGAAGCTGCTCCCCGTTTCTGGGGCTCCCCACAAGCAGCCCCCCCCATCCCAGTCTCCCCCCAGCCGATCCAAGAGAAGGGGCAGCTCAACGCACCTAAAGTCTTCCTTCTTCTTTTCGCCTCCCGCCCAGAATCCACGGCCTTCAGCTCTTTGATGTCTAGGTACTACAAATACAAGAAGGAAACCTTCGTTCACTTTCTCCTTCATGGCACAGCCGGAGGGTTTCGCCAGACAGCTTCTCCGTGGGTTCATTTCTCGGCTCTTTCACACCTGGCTAAAAGTTACAAAGCTCGGGAGACTTTCAGCCCTGCATGGATGCTCCCCTTCACTGTACAACATCCAAGAATGTTTTTGTGTCGTCAGAAACCTAAAGTAACAACGGTCAGGGTTTGCATTCCCTTTTAACAGTTTATCCGTCTATGAAATAACTTCTTTTTCCCCTGTGGCCAGACTTTTTTCCCAGTCTGCAAAAGCTGCAGGACAAGGCCCACACATTCTGTTTTGAGGGCTTACTTTGATAAACCTCCGCTGTTCAACTTTATGCATTTAAACTTAGCATTTTTGCTCCTGAATTTCAGCACCGCCTTCTCAGGGAGTGTTGGGGATGAGGCACATCCCCACATGGACACTGCTGTCCAACTTACAAAATGCACCAAGTCTGGGAAACCTGTTTTATAAATTGTATCAGTCTCAAAATGACACAGATGAGAAAACTGATTTTAGCAAGCAGGAATGTAGAAGCCTAAAAACAAAAGACAAACAGCGTGTGGGATTTGTTCCCTCGATGCTAACACCACAGGAGTCCAATTCGTCGTGAAAAGAACTACTTTTATTGTATGAAGCACTTCAGATATAAAGGCATCCCTTACTTACTTTTAGGGGTGCTTCTTCAATTATCTCTCCTTTCTAAATGTAAATGTGTTTGCATGGAATCCTGAACTGCACAGGCAGCCATTCAGACAGATTACGAAACAACTCTACCACATTATGAGGCACAAGGGAGCTCCAGTAAAATACCAGATTAGATTAAGGCCACGGCTTGTGCTTGGAAGGACCGAATGGAGAAGCTTCTAAGGGTGCAACCAACATGAACATGACTAGGTGTTTGTGAGGAGAAGCAACACAGGGTCCAACGTGCAGGTACCTTGACGCCTCTCTCCTTGCACAGAGGCACTTTGGAGGACAGGATGGGGGTCCGGTTCCCTGTGGGGCTGAAGACGATGGGCGCGGTGGGGTTCCTGAAGGGAGCTTGCTTTGGTATTCCTTTGAGCGGAGCTGCAAACAGACGGGACAAGGAGTTAAGGAAGGCCACATTCTTGCCCTCAGAGAGGCGGCCATTTCCAGTGAAGAATATCAAAAACTTTAAAATATTACCGGCTGTGTTTTAAACCCCCTGCCTGCTCTGTGAGCCCTCGTTTTTAAGACTCAACTAAAACATTACAGCAAAAGCCCCAGGTTCTCACGAAACGTCTGTGAAGGTCAGAATGCGCATTATGGCTCTCTGAAGCCAGATCCCCCCCTCCCCCCCCAAACAGCCACAGAACTTCCATCAATCCTTGTAGGCTGCCCAAATGAGCCTGGGAATCAAACGCCAAACCTGACAGACAAGGCTTCAGATGCCGAATTTATGTGCTTCCAGGAAACTTCCTCCTGCCTAAAGAACTCTGCCAGGAGGAGCTCTCGTCTCTTCCAAGGGGCTTCCAGGAAGGCCAGAGGAGAGGCCATCTTACAAGAACTTCCTGCTAGGAGCGTCTTCCTCATGCAGGAAATCGTTCCAGTTATCAATTCTTGTAAGGAGAAGCCATGACGATGATGGCCACCATCCCTCTTACGCTGACTGCCTCCTGGAGTCTGCTATCCAACATTCTATCCATCACTCCAGAGAGTGTCTTTCTTCCCCAACGTTGTCCATAAATCTACCGCCTTTGTTATATCCACCCAGGAACCCTCGGATGGCATTTTTTGTATTGCCAATTTATCTGTAAGAGCCGAGATGGCACAGTGGTTAGAGTGCAGCACTGCAGGCTACTTCAGCTGACTGCTAGCTGCAGTTCGGCAGTTCAAATCTCACCGGCTCCAGGTTAACTCAGCCTTCCATCCTTCCGAGGTGGGTAAAATGAGGACCCATATAAGTCTAAGTGCTTATTGCTTACTATTATTATTAAGGCTCGAAGTGGTTGCGTATAAAATGAGACAAAAGTGAAAACCTACTTGTTGTGTCAATCTTCTTAACCAATCCTCTTCCTTTGGCATGGAAAGCTACTCCAGCCGTCTTCTTGAGCTGTTGTGCAGTTTCAGCAGCTAAAGAAATCATATAAATTTATTTAGCATCCAACTTTAAAAGAAAAAAAAAATCACACATTAATTTCAAAGAAAGCTTTTAATGCAGTATTAAACCTGACTCTATCCAAAAAGAAGATAATCTTGGGCATTAACTTTTTTTCAGACTAGGGGTTTCTTTTGCAGTTAACAGAACAGAACAGAACAGAACAGAACAGAACAGAATAGAACATATCCTAGGAAGCAGGACAGCCAGGTGCAAATGAGGGAGAGTTTCTTTACTTAAGAACTTTTGTAAAAGAAATAAAACATTTGTACAGGTTTTATTTTGCCAGTCAGACATGAAAAAGCCTATTTCTTGCTCAAATCTCCTCTCTGCTGCACTGGGGTCCCGCCCTCCGTCGTAAGTCGCTTCTTTTAGTTCCGTTGTAACTTGGAACAGTCCCTAAACAAACTGTTGTTAAGTCGAGTGCTCCGTGCCTGCTTCTCCTCTCCTCCTCTACAGTGGAGTTGAGCCACTGTGGCTCAGCTACTTACACTTCTGCAGGAGCTCCGCTCGCAGAGTGGCGCTTTTGGGCTTCCTCTTCAACTGGAAGTGCTTGATGGGAGGCGTGAAGGGTCCGGCCAAGGTGGTCAAGGCGTTTTTATTTAAGTACTGGCATTCCAAAGGCAACATGGCTGAGGATTCACAATCGCTCACTAGATCAAAATACAGAATTCGTAAGGAGTTCAGTTTTCTCCAGCGCCAAACTAAGAAGAGCCAGCGTGGGGACAATGGGAGAATCTTTCCGGAATGTAAATGAGAAAGAGGGGCCTCCTCCCTCTTGGCTCCCTAATGAAGGAGCTGCGAAGCAGTGAGGAAGACCCTCCCTTATCAAGAACAGGGAGAGAGGGGGGGTGTTTGATGCACGGTGGGAGATGCCCGAAGGACCTGAGGGAAGGTTAGGGTGGGAGAGGTTGTTGCCCTGGAATGTGGACAGAAACAAGACTCCAGAAACAAGAAGGCTGGGCTCCCACTGAACCTAAGAGTAGGGGGAAAGTATGGCAGGGGATGACCATTACAGCAGAGGGGCCCCCGCACCCCCATGGGGAGGGGCCAGACAGCAGGGGCCACGGTCATCTGACACCCCTTTCCTTCCAGAGAGCCACAGGGCCACAAACCCTGCCTATCTTTTTAAAAGAAATCAGAGGTTTTCTTCTGTTTAACTTATTTGGAGCCTTTTGATGTTCTTGGGTGACTTTTCCTATGTTTTAATCCTGTATTTCTATCCTCTTTGTTGTACTGAGTGTTTTTGCCTTATTGAGTTACATGAGATGAAGCAACTGAGAAGTTACCCAAAGAGATGGTGACCAAAAAAAAAATCAAAAGTAGACGTGACCAAGCATGAGCCAAGTCAATGGCAAAGAGTCCATTCCTCTCTGGGCTTGTTATGGACTCCTGACCAGCGGCTCTGTCCAGATGGGCCAGGCCAGACACCCACAGCCTCTGCTCGGAAGGAAGCAGAGGGGTCATCAGTGGCGTTCCACCACTTTGGGCCTTTGGGGGAGGGGGCAAGAGGAGGAGGTGAAGCTACATTGAGCTGATAGTAACTCAGGACGACCACGTGATAGAAAGATCAGTGCAACACCTTGCTGCAAAGGTGAATAGTTATTGTTTATGTATTGACCAATTCAAGGAAAGAAAACAATTCCTACATCAGATACAGGCATTTGGATGCTCTTCCAATTAGTATTTCACTTCACCTTCAACTTAAGTGTTGACACCTGGGAACTGCCTGGACAAATCCCTGCAGTTTTCTTGGCAAGGTTTTTTTGGAAGTGTTTGCCATTGCCTCCTTCCCAGGGCTGAGACAAAGGGACTGGCCCAAGATCACTCAGCTGACTTTACGCGGCAGGCGGGACTAAAGGCACCCAGTCTGTTTTCTCAGCCACTACACCGAGTTGGCTCGGTATTAAAATCAGCCCAGCTGTGTATTATATACAAATACTGAGCATCACGTGTGCCCCATTTCATTAGACATTTCTAAAGCCGTGCAGTGCTACACCCAGAATGCAACAGATCCCACGAAGCTAAAGCAGTCTGAGTATTTTCATTCTTTTTAGTTTGCACCAATCGTGCCTCCTTGCACCCAAAAACCAAGAACTGTCATCCCCAGCTGTTCTTTCAGACACAAGAAAAGCTCCAGCTATTTGTATATTTCACACACACACACACACACACACACACACCGTAGACTGATACAGGGAAGAATTTTTAAACTTTGAAAAATGCCCTGTTCCTCACCCCTGCTTGCCAAACTGAAGAGAAGAGAAGATGAGCAATGTTGAGTTCAGAGAAGCCCCACTTTCCCTCTGGAGAGGCTGCCAAATATTCACGGTTCACTTTGTACACATACAGGCAAATCTTTACCACTAGACGGTACGTGGCACCTGGCCACAATAGGCATGCTCCCCTTTGCACACCCTTTTGTGTCACCTTTTGTGTCACTAAACCGGATCGCCAAGAGGGAAAAACGCTTTCCCTTCCACTCAAGCAATTCTTGTGCCAGTTCTGCACAATACATTCCTGGCACGTGCCCTGGGCATCCGGCCAGCCTCCTGCTTACTCACTTCCTGGTCCCAAACAGGCTCTCTGGCATCCCATCAATCCGTCAGCTGAGCCGGGGGAACCTGTTTGCCTCCGCTTGAGACACTCTCTAGTCATCCACCAAAGGTCTGCCGGGGAGAGCCGGGCTGGGAAAGGCCCCCTGAAGCTGCCCGCTTGATCGCAGCGCTGGAGGGAGGCAGCTTCCTCCACAGGGGGCCATTCGGGCAGCAGAGGGAATCAGCCAGAGATCAGAGGCTGCCTGCTTCTGCGGTTTTTCTCACTGCACAAGGGGGCTCTGTTGAACAAGCCCAATCTGTTCCGAAGCTATTTGCAAGTGATAAACTAGGCGTTTTACCTTTGGTTAATAATACATAGAAATTCTCTTTCCGTGAAATGTCAAAGCGATGGTTTGGGTCAAGACGGCTCCGGCGCAAGGCAAGGGAAAGAGGGAGACAGTTACCTTTTTCTCGCAGTTCTCCTAAGATATCCTGAACATTGGGGTTCTGCTCTTCCAGATCAAGGTTAAGGGAGCCAATATCCGGAAAGGATTTTAAAATATCAGCCACCATTAAGACCCAGGGATCTGGATCCAAAGTAGCCAGCTGGATAATTTCAGTCAGGGCACCTTTCATCTAATGAGAAAGAAAAAAAAATGAAGAGTAAAACGATCAGAATCAGTCGGCACTTTCTTTCTGTAGCTCTACAGAACAGACTCAGCCCTCAGACCCTTCCATGAAGGAGGAAGAAGGCCGTGCAGAGACCCAGGAGCAGAGCCGGGCTTTTCATTCCAACACCAGCTCCTCTCCCTTCTCAGCCTCCATGCCATGAACACTTGGGGGGGGAGGGGAAGAGAGAAAGACACGGACCCTCCTCTGCAGAAGCACCAGCACCTCAATAAAGCTCCTACCTATCTGACAAAATCGCCAACGTTTTCAATGTATGGCTGAAATACTGAAACAACAGCTTTATAATGGAGCTGCAATCTATTTTCAAAGTAACAAACATACAACGCTGCATAAAATCCATGAAACTATTTTGAGTTCTCATTGTCCAGCTGCAGGACTCCAGAATCCTAACTAGACAAGTTTTTCATTGTTGGAAACTCCATTTTGAGAACCCAAAAACTGAATCTGGGGGATTTATCAGTAAATTATGCTCTTTATCTATCTACTGACAAACATGATGCAAAGGCTGTGAGAAGGCATATATTTGCTTAAAGAACAGGCATTAGATTTTGCAGCTGGTAGAAACTGCCATCTGCAAGTTTCCCCATCAACAGAAAAGTATCAGATTAGATATGAAACATGTGAAAACTACCACGCTGCAGTCCATCATTAGCTTCATCATAACAATTCATGAAAATAAAATTTAGCTTTTTACAGCTGGCATGTTTTGGCAGGTAACCAAGAAAATTCATCTCAGAGAGAAGTATCAAACTCTTAACTCAAGCAAATCAAGGAGATGAAAGAATAGAATAATTCTTTTTATTGGCCAAGTGTGATTGGACACACAAGGAATTTGTCTTGGTGCATACGCTCTCAGTTTACATAAAAAGAAAAGATACATTTGTCAAGATTCATAAGGTACAACACTTAATGATAGTCATAGGGTACAAATAATCAGGAAACAATAACAATATAAATAGTAAGGATACCAGCAACAAAGTTACAGTCATACTGTCCTAAGTGGGAGGAGATGGGTGATGGGAACAATGAGATGATTAATAGTAGTGCAGACTTAGTGAATAGTTTGACAGCGCTGAGGGAATTATTTGTTTAGCAGAGTGATGGCATTCGGGGAAAAACTGTCCTTGTGTCTAGTTGTTCTGGTGTGCAGTGCCCTATAGTGTCGTTTTGAGGGTAGGAGTCGAAACAGTTGATGTCCAGGATGCGAGGGGTCTGTAAATATTTTCACAGCCCTCTTTTTGACTCGTGCAGTAGACAGGTCCTCCATGGAAGGCAGGTTGGTAGCCATGGTTTTTTCTGCCGTTCTAATTCTCCTCTGAAGTCTGTGTCTGTTGTGTTGGGTTGCAGAGCCAAACCAGACAGTTATGGAGGTGCAGATGACAGACTCCATCATTCCTCTGGAGAACTGGATCAGAAGCTCCTTGGGCAGTTTGAGCTTCCTGAGTTGGCGCAGAAAGAAAGTGATCCAAATTCTTAGGAGGTGCCCATTCCTATATAAATGCTTGTTATGGTATCATTATTAGGTTTAGCTACTTGCCAAACGTCATTTTTATTCCCTTATTTCGTTCTGGTGTTGATTTTTCCCCAATTCATATGGATAAATACATATTCAGCATCTGTTTAATCTATCCTTTCGAACAAGTTTTAAGTCTTTAGCTCTTCTTCTTTTGTCCCTTGGAAGTTATTGTTTGGAGAACGCCACAGGTGATCTACCATGGTAATCAAAACTATCTTTTTTTTAAAAAACTGAGGATGAACAACTGTTGAGACACAAATTAAAAAGCTGTTTTTCCCAAAATAACCGAAGGTGAAACAGTTTACATGCTTTCTCCACTTTGGTTACAAATGCAGATGACAATAATGTCACAACACAAAAAAGGAAAACGTAAACAAGGTCCAGTTGAGAATAGAGAGTTCATGAATTCTAAAATATTTTACATATTCGGCAATTCCACAATACAGTATTTCAATTTCTGCTCTTAGAGCAGTCCAACTGTCTTTCACAATGAATAATTTGAAAAGGAAGGTGTTCTTATTTACTGTACAACATGGCATAATCAGTAAGTTTATATAATTGTAATGTAATGGATAATTATTTTCCAATTTGCAGTTGCAGTTAAGATTATTCAATTATTTCTCTCCCATTTCCCAAAATTTGCAGAAAAAAAATACGTTGCTCCTGAATTTTGAATGTCTCTGGAGATTCTCAACCGTCCAGGTCCTGGTTGTCCCAAAGGTGCTTTTCCAAAAGACAGCTGGGCTTTCTCGTTTTTTTTCCCCTTTGAAAACATTTCACTACTCATCCAAGAACCTTCCTCAGTTCTTCAATCCTCTTCACTGAGAACTGAAGAAGCTTCTCAGATGAGAAGCAAGTTGTTTTCAAAGGGGGAAAAAAAACAAGAAAGCCTTTCAAGGTCACCTTTGGGACCCCTGAATTTTAGTTACTATATTAAGAAGCCATTCACACAATTTGAATATGTGATGAATATGCAATTTTATTTATCTGATACATAGCGCACCCCGTACTATCCATGACTCTGGGAAGCTTTCCACAGAAGACATAAAAAAACCCAAGTCACCCAAATAATACAAAACTCCTAGCAGCTGAGCATCCTGAAATGACCATCCACAAAGCCAAGAGGCCCCGGGGGCTGCATCACGCTTCCGTGGCCTGGCAGAAACCCAAAGTTTTTAGGGCCTCGCCAAAGACCGGCAGATCCAGAGCTGACCTAATCACCGATGGAATTAGGTTATTAGAATGCCCTGCAGGCAAGGTTGGAAATTCTGGACCTTCTATTCAAAGATATCCGGCAGGCACCACACGTGGCTTTGGAGTGGACTATAGTGAGAAGACCTCCTGAAGGAGTTCAGTTTATATTCTGATAAAATGGGAATGATATATATTAAATATTAATAGAATACATTTCACTACCCAGCTGGGTAACATCATCAGGGAGACAGAGTGTGGGGTTTGCTCCTTGTAGCTTGCTTTGCCAATATCGGTGGGAGTGTGGTTTTCTCCTTGTTAGTTCCTTGATTAGGATATTGTTTTTTGCTTGGTTGCTTGTCTGGTGTTAACCCCTGCTTATCTGACTGCTGGTGAGGATGTATTCTGGTTTTTATGTTCCTTATTTTGCTTTTAATTGGCTAATTTGAAGAGTATATAAATGTAATTTATATGTGCCTGTTGATGGTGATTTGTTTGAGTGGCAGGCTTCCAGAAATTTTCTGGTGTTTTTGGACTTCATTTGGTCTAGAATGCTCACCATCTCCCAGTTGAAACTTTGGTGAAATTTGCTGTGCAATTAAGACATTTTTATCCTATCTTCTGGTTAGTGTACATGGATGCACTCTGCTAATCTTCTGCCTGCCTGTCCTACATAATGCTGTTATAGTCTTTGCACTTACGTTGTGGCTTTTATGTTTCTCCTTGGGTCAGTGGCTCTTTTGGTTTACTCAAGATGTTTTCAAGAACTTTAGTAGTTGGTTTGTGTGTGTGTGATTCTAATAGAGTCTTTTGGTCGTTTCTGAATTTTTTTATTTTTATTTTTAGTTGCATATCCATTTTGTTGGAAGCTGCTGTATAGGCGTCCTTTTCCTTTTTCTGGTGTTCTGGGTTGCTGCGCCGCCTTTGAACTCGTCTGAATAATGTTCTTTCTCAACAGCTGTTGAGGGAAGCTGGGGTGTTTCTTTGGCAATGGAGCACTTGGTTACTGGGAGTTTTTAAATAGGCTTACATTTCTAATTTGCTGTTGCTTCTTCTGGTGATGAAGATATTCAGGAAAGGTAGTGTGTTGTTGTTTTCTTCTTTCCTTGTGAACGTTATCCTTTGAAGATGTTGTCGTTTCATGTGTCACCTCTATTTATTCCTTTTTTTATGATGATGATGATGGAGTCGCCTACATGACAGATGCATACTGTTGGGTGACATTTGTGGGAGTGCCATAGTTTCTAGACATTTCTCAACCTTGGCAATTTTAAGCAGCCCAAACGTCAACTCCTAGAATTCTTGCCAAGTTCCTCTAAGCATTTGCTACTCTTATGGAGACACTTTCATCCTTCTTGCGGTCATCTTACACTCCTGGACAACAGCCGATATACCCTGCCTTCCTAGGAGACCTCTCTTCCCCCTTTTTTAATGAGCGTTCCTCTGTACTCTTGAAAATTGGCTTGCAGTCTTTCCCAATTCTTCAGCCAAGGGAGACAAGATTTCAAGCATAAAGTTTGTAAAAAGTATACTTCAAGGGGGGAACATATACGGTACCCAATCCTATACATGTCTACCTTAGGGTTCCTACCCTTAGCAGGGCATGAGGATGGTCTGGTCCTCCTTCTGCTAAACCTTCACCCCACTCCTCTTGGCTCTTCTCTTTCCTGCTTCTGACCATGAGCTCCCACCTGCCTGGCCTCTTTCCAAAGAATGCCCTTTGACCTGGCTTGTGCACTGGATGACCAATTAATCAGCTACCTCTGTACGCCCCTCCTGCTACTCACACCTCAGCCAACATCTTCCCTCAGGAAAAGTCACACACACTCCTGCTCATTCAAGCCTAACAGCCTTCCCCCAAAGTCAGGCGATCAGCTCCACAGCTCCTTCATAAAACCTCTGTGCTTCTATTTCTGCCCTCGTTTCCCTTCCTGCTAGTTGCCTGGTCTCCTGTTCAGGACTAGTGGCTGAGATTCATCCAGGTTCTTTTAAGGGCTAATAACTAATAACAACACAACACAACAGCAGGAGCAAATTTGGGGTGACAGAGTTATGGTCTTCCTTAAGCATGGAAGCCAACTCAGTGCACTTAGGTCTAAACGGAAGAGGTGCTTTTCTAGAAGTGGGAAGCGTTTGCTGTATTTATGCCTTTAACCCTGGGTCTACATTGTAGCTGGACAGAGAGACGAAAATACGAATTAAGGAGACAGTGGGCAGGGCACCAGGACTTTGCTTCCCGCAAATCCTTCACTCACATTTTCCTGGGACTGCATGGCTATCATGAGAGCCCAGAAAAATAGTTTTTCTAAAAAAAAGATGTGTGCACTGAGTGCTCTCTCAGCCTCTTCAAAGCCCTTTTTTCCCCCTGCTTTGGATCCAAATAGCTGCCCCCTCCTCATACAAGCCTTTTTAAAGCAAAATATGCACTTTCAGTGCATTCCTGAATCAAACAGGGAGCGAAGGAGTCTCAACACTTGTAAGAGGATACTGGCTGTTTCCAAGCAACCTGCAGGTGGAGGCTGAGTTGCCTCCCCAGCGCACTGGGAGATCAGGACTGAGCTGCCTTAATTCGCCTACCTGCAAGTTTCCCATTTGGAAAGGAAAGTACTCATTAGAACTCTTTCATCTTTCCACTAATAAAAGTTACTAGTCTGAGCTCGGAAAATTTGGTTCCTTGTTTCCAGGCCAGGTTTCTGCCAAAGAAATTGGACACAAAGTGCATATGCTGATCTACAATTCATTACGTAGGAAAGAAACAAGTAATTCTCAATTTTTTTTTTCCAAGAGTCACTTTAGAAATCTGAGCACTAGGCAAGAACTATTTATTCATCCAGGCCTTTTAACACAGTTTGATATTTATTCTACCTGCTTCTTAGTAGGGTAAAATGACTCACTAAATATTTTTAGTCTACATTTCCTCTACGGAATTCAGGATGATAAACACTGGAGGCTACAAACAGAATTCCCAGGCAAATGCTCCCTTTGCCAAGTGTCTCAAGGACATCTAGACTAGCCTCCTCTAATCTATGCATCTCTATCAAGAGCAATACTGTAGGTAACTACCCTCATTTTCCCAAATCAGCATATCATTTATCATGAAGACTGGGAAAATAGGAACTGTGATGCCAACAAATCCAAAGAGGAACACTTTTAAGGGGGCGGTTTTAATTAACCTGCCTAAGGTCCAAGGCAGGGATGGATGCTGAAACAGGAGAAAGAAATAAACAAGCTGGATTGCTAACAAATGATTTTTCTGAAATGCAAGGTAAAGGGCCGTATGACTACCCAGACATATCCACATCACTTCTGTGCCAACAATACCAAAGTTGTTTGCAAACAGAGGTGTGCGGTATTTATCTGGCCCTGTAGCAGGAAATATACTTTGTCTTGTTCCAGGCTGAGTGAACACTGAGGAGTTGCAGCCGGCGTACTTGTGTCAGGCAAACCCAAAGGCAGGTAGAAAGCTGTTTGAGCAGACTCACACATGCTTGGAAATACACAAAGAAGCAACATCACGCCTGCTTCCCAGATGCAGCTAACCAGAAATCCAGTCCAGAGTTGCAGCTAAGGGAGGCAGGTAGGAGTGCTGGAAGGCCAATGCAGCATCAGTTCAAAATAGGGCGAGGCAGAGAGGCAAGCGGGCAAGTGAGACTCCAGTAGTCAACTGGCAAAGAGTTCCACATGCTGCTCTGGGTTGCAAAACTGAGCACCAACGAGGAGAGCAGGAGGCAAACAATGCAGGAATAGAAGGCCAACATCAGAGCGTTGTTTCCAACAGAGAGTAATCTCTGGAGGCTACTCAAGTAGCCCAGCCATAGGTTAGGGGCACAGATGTCTTCGCTTCCCGAGGAATAAAGCAGGTCTCCTTTGTTTTGGTGTTTGAAGCTGCTGCCCCATCTTGGAAATGGGCATCCTGCCAGGATCTGGCCTCTCACCACCCGAGTCCTTGCAATTCTGTGGGGAGTTGATTTCCTTCCACTTCCACCCTCGATCTCCAAGAAGTCCTTGGGCCGGCATTGTCTGTAGCTGCCTGGCACAGGGATTTCTTTTTACAGCGGTCCAAGTGACAGGGAAACACTCATTCCAGTTCGGAAGATGTTACCGGAGCTGCACCAAGATACAAGTTTTGCCGGCACCTTTTCTGAGCCCGTACATCTTTCTTTATGGGCGCCCTCTTCTCCTGGAGTGATTTCTCGGCATCGCAGTCTAACCTGGGGCGTTTCCTGGTGGTCTCCGCTCCACGGACCTTCAGGAGCAACACCAAAATCAAGGGAAACAGCCAGGCGTTGCTGTTCCTTGGATGGTTCCTGCTCCAAGTTTCCTCCACAAAGCAAATCATCCCACAAAACGAGGCACAGCACAGAAGACGTTGATCCTCACCATCCTTTGTTGCAGCGACACTCTGAAGCCCAGGGACCCCCAGATCTTCCACCGGCCACACCCTTCATGAAGCCCCCGGCCCTTAAAAAGACTCTGGAGGGGCTGAGGAACAGGCTGGACTACAAAGAACAACCACTACCACGGCCTTTGGATGGCCCCATCAACACTTGGGGGGCATCCACTTTTACGCAGGTAGTCCTTGACTTACGACCACAATTGACCCCAAAATGTTTACGTTTCTAAGCAAGACTGCTATTAAGTTAACGTTGCCCCATTTTACGACCTTTCTCGCCACGGTTGTTAAGTGAATCAGTGCAGTTGGTTCAGTTAGTCACACAATTGTTAAGCAAATCCGGCTTTCTCCACTGACTTCGCTTGTCAGGTGGTGGCCAAAAGAGATGGTGTGACCCAGGGCCGCTGTGACCGTCATAAATGTGAGTCAGGCGCCAAGTGTCCCCCGGGCGGGGGGGGGGGTGCTGCAACGGTCGTTAAGTGTGAAAATCGGCCGTAAGTCCCTTCTGTCAGTGCCGTTGCGACTTTGAGCAGCCAGTAAACGGGCGGTTGTAATGCGAGGGCTGCCAGTGGGATCTTGGCCTGAATCCCCACAAGGCCTCATGAGGCGCAGGAGGGTCAGGCTGGGCTGAGGCTCCCCCGCAGAGGGCGACCCCCACACCCCCCCCGAGCCCTCCCCACCCCCACCCCCACCCCCCCCGAAGGGTTCGCCTGAGGAGGGGCTCCCAACGGCCGCGGCGGGGCCCCCGGAGCGCCTCCGCTCTCTCCCGCCGGGCGGCCTCACCTCGTCGACGGCTCTGCGGGGCAGGTGGAGGACGCCCAGGAGCAGCTTGAGCTTGACGGGCGAGGAGAGGCCGTGGAAGCAGAGGCGGATGTTGTCGATGACCGAGGCGGTGAGCAGCGAGGCGATGCTCGGAGGCGCCCACAGCTCGTCGGCCGAGCCCAGCTTGTTGTGCAGCCACAGGCCGGTGTCGCTCTCCCGCATCGACGCCATCTTGGGGCCCAGCCGAGGCGCGCGGCGGGCATTTTATGAGGACACCTAAAAGAGGGAGGGGGGAGGGGGACGGCGAGCGAGGCCCCGGCCCTCCAGGGGAGGACGCCGTCCGTAACGCAAGATGGCGGCGCGCGCCAGGGAGGGAGGGAGGGAGGGAGGGCCGGGAAATGGCCGAGTTAGGGGGAGGAGGAGGCGTGGCGCGCGCGGGGGGGGGGGAACAGGGGGCGGGGCTTAAGGTACGGCAAGATGGCGGGCCTTTCTTCGTCCGTTTTCTCCTCGCTCGGCCAAAACGGCTCCTGCGGGGGAAACGGACGAGCCGGGTTCGCGGAAGGGCTGAGCCGGGGGATGTGGGGCCTCGGCGGAGAATGCGGGAGGCCCGTTTACCCGCCAAAACAGCCGCCGCCCCCCACCCCCGTGCGTCTCCAGCCCTCCCCAGGAAGGAAATGGCGGGAAAGAGCCCCCCCACCCCCCCCAAGGCCGCCTCCTCTGGGATGAAGCACCGCCATCCTCCTCCTCCTCCTCCTCCTCCTCATGGGGGGAAGGAGAGGTGGGCGTCCCTGGGGATCCTGAGGGAAACCAGGGGGGACTCCGGACTTTTAAGACTTGGGGACTCCCAGGATTCCACCCCCCCAGCCATAAGTTTATACAGGCGGTCCTCGACTTACAACCGTTCATTTATAGTGGCCGTTCAAAGGTGCAACCACCCTGAAAGAAGTGACTGATGACCCTTTTCCACCCGGCCGTTGCAGCAGCCCCGTGGTCACGTGGTCAAAATTGGGACACTTGGCAACTGAGTCATACTTATGACGGTCGCAGCTCCCCTTTTGGGACCTCCTGACAAGCATAGTCAATGGGGAAGCCGGATTCACTTAACAACCATTTTACTAACTTACCGACTGCAGTGATTTCTTTAACAACTGGCAACAAATGTATCACTTAACAACAGAAATTTTGGGCTCCGTCGAGGACTACCTGTATGGAGAAAGGTGTAAATTCTTTACAAAAGCTATCATGCAGTGGTCCAGTTTGAATCTGTCCCACTTCCTGACTTTCAGCCACCGGGTGATTTCGCAGAGAAAAATCCACAGAAATAATATAGTGATTAAAACAAAGAAGAAAAGATGGCACAAAGAAGACAACTGCAGGGGATTATGGGAGCGAGGGGAGGCTCCCATGTGATGCCTCTCCTGCGTGAGCTGCATTGGCTTCCGGTGGTCTTCCGGGTGTGCTTCAAGGTGTTGGTTACCACCTTTAAAGCGCTCCATGGCATAGGGCCTGGGTATTTGCGGGACCACCTTCTGCCGCCGATAGCCTCCCACTGGCCAGTACGCTCCCACAGAGAGGGACTCCTCAGGGTGCCGTCAGCCAGGCAGTGTCGGCTGGCGACCCCCAGGGGGAGGGCCTTCTCTGTGGCAGCTCCTGCCCTCTGGAACGACTTGCCCCCGGAGATACGCATGATACCAGATCTCCGGGCCTTTCGCCGTGCCCTAAAAACTTTTCCACCAAGCAGGGCTGGTGTAACCCAACCCCCCCCTTTTTGAGATGTTAGATTTTAATTGTCTATGGGTTTTAGTTGGGATGTTTTAAATTTTGGGCCAAAGTGTGTAATTCTTCTAACAAATTTTAAATTTTGTATTGGGATGTTTTTTATTTTGGCTGTGCACCGCCCTGAGTCCAGCAGGAGAAGGGCGGTATACAAATTTAATAAAATAAATAAATAAACCAGCAAAGCTCACCCACAGAGCCCTGGTGGCGCAGTGGTTACAATGCAGCATTGCAGGGCTAACTCACTGCCAGAAGTTTGATCCGGACCGGCTCAAGGTTGACTCAGACTTCCATTCTTTCGAGGCCGGTAAAATGAGGACCCAGATTGTTGGGGGCAATAGGCTGACTTTGTAAACTGCTTTGTAAAACAGTATATACCGTAAGTCTTAAGTGCTATTGCGATTGCTAACACAGTACCCAGAAGGGGCCCTCAATCGCCCGAGGCCTAGGTGAAGAGCCAGATTCTCAGACCCCTCCAAAATATAGCTGAAACAGAGAGAGAGAGAGAGAGCCACTTTGGGGAGCCTGGCTCCAGAGGGCAGATGCTGCTATAGGGAAGGGATGCTTCTGGGGTCTTCTTGAGGGATAAGGCTCAGTCGAAGAAACCCAGAGAATGCCAAGGTTGCCGGATCAAAATAATTGGGCAGCTAATATGGGAAATAGGCAGTTCTTAACTAACCAGGCCCTATGCCATGTAGGGCTTTATTGGTAATGATCTGCACCTTGATTTGCACCAGGAAGGAAACGGCCAGCACAGCTTGCAGAGCAGAGGCATTAGGTGGGTGTACCAAGACATGCCCATTGCTGCCCGCATGCTGGATTCTGGACCAATTCAAGCTTCCAGATGCAGCAACTCCCGACGCTAATTCTGGTCCTGTATCTTATTATGTCAATACACCTACAAGAGTGAAGTATGCATGCCTGCTTGCTTGTCCTCATCTGCCTCTTCGTGTTGGGAAAATCACTTTCAAAAGAGTAAAAGAATCATAATTTGTGAATCCAAAACCCACAGTGGGAACGTTTGGGCTCATCCAGTCATTCTATAATCGAGTGGCTATTGTTTTGAAAGGATATGAAAATTTCATTGAAAAAAAAGGTGAACTGGAATTTATTGGAGTTTTAATGGAGTAAAAAAATGTAAGGCTATTTATCAAATCATATTACATTTTAATCAGGCCAAGAATGTCTGTCACTGAACTAATCTCAAATATTTGCTATAGATAACTCCTCGTGTCTCCCTTTCCGATTATTCCATCAGTAATAACACTCGATTTCCTTTGCATCTGAAGAAGCGATCAGTCGCAGAAGCCTATGCGTCATGCACGAGTTCATGTTTCCCTTGCCACAATATATTTTTTTTAGGCTGTACACTAAAAGACTAAGGGACGTGCTAAAAGCCGTGCCTTTTCTAACCCAACAGGGAGAGCAAGGCCATTGTTTTGTGAGTCGGGGGTTCTGCATGGTTGCCATGGCAGATCCTTTGGGAAAGGATAAAGAGCAGCTGTGCGCCTGCTCGGAGGCAGCAGTGCACCTCTTGCGCTAGCCAGCCACGGCAGCCATTCAGAGCAGCCATCACAAAGACAAGGGAGAGGGAGAGAGAGAGAGAGCAGGTATTTCTATCTTGGCTTTATTGGAATTCCGTGAGGTACGATCTAGATCTAGCTGCAAAGGGGCTGTGTCCTCCGTTACGGCCATGTGTCGTCCGCTCGGCTGGGGTGCACAGTTTGGACCCCACACAGCAGTCGCCAGAGCCTGGGTGGAGAACCGGTGATTTCTCAAGCCCTTTTCTGGGCGAGAGGCTGTTCTGAGAACCCACCCTGGGCTGGGGATCAGGCAAGGCTTCGCTCTGGGGGAAGAGGAGAGCTGGGGTCACTTGAGCAAGAGGGAAAAAGCTCCTTCTGGCACAGGGGGCACTTTCTGATTCCGTAGTTGCTACAAGGGCAGAAATGTTGTGTCTCTGCACGTTTCTGATCCAGGCATTTTAAATGGATTTAAACAGCCATTCTGATCACCTCATCGGAATACAGTGTTCACGTCTGGATAATAGGAAGGAAATGGAAAGATGGGCGTAAATAATTTTATTTTTATTTTTAAGCAGAAAACAGTTTTGCTTTTATTGGTGCTTTGGTAAACGCATCTGCTGTGGGATGGTGGGCAAAAGGTGTTTTGTTCAGGTGTCATAATTTTGACTGACTTTTGAGAGACAAAATAGTGCTCGCTTGCTCGCTCGCTCTGTGCATATTTAGGCTGAATTCTTATGTAATTTCTTTAGTTAATTGCACACAAATATCCTGACTCTCCATAGCAATGCTCCATGGTTTATTTATTTATATATTTATTGGTTCGATTTATATGCCGCCCTTCTCCGGAGACTCAGGGCAGCTTACAATGTGTTAAGCAATAGCCTTCATACTTTTGTATATACCTGCTTAGTAGGGCTTTCGGCACCCCCTAAATGGTGTTCTTTTTTTTAAAAAAAAGTCAGCTTATTGCCCCCACAAACCGGATCCTCATTTTACCTACCTCGAAAGGATGGAAGGCTGAGTCAACCTTGAGCCTGGTGAGATTTGAACTTGCAGTAATTGCAGGCAGCTGGTGTTACAGTGCTTTAGTCTGCTGTGCTACCAAGGCTCTTATGACTCTTATGACTATGAAACCCCACAGCTACATAATCTCCCTCCCTTGCAAGGATCAAGAGCAGTTGCTGAATCATACCTAAAAGCTTGCAATTAGGCAATTGATGTCACATTACCTTGAGAACATCATAAGAAGTTGCAGCATTCTGTTGAAATTCTGGGGTTAGATGGCTTGATGTATATATATATATATATATATACTAAAGTTGTAGAACCAAATGACAGATGGACATAAATGCCGATGTTAACTGGAATACTTTGCAGCAGAGGTTCTGCCTTCTGCCCCATCTCTTTTGGGCCAAGAAGCAGCTTGGGTTGAGATATGGTTTAGGTGTGTGCAGGCACAGTGGCCATCTTGACTTTTTTTACCATACCACTGTGGATGTTCCTGGGACACTGCTGCTCTTAGGACCTGAAGCGTTACAATTTGAAATTATCCCTTCCCTTGACAGTGGTACCCATATATACATGTAAAGAGATTATAATGGAAATATTACAGTCCTAAGGAAAATACTTCACCGCTTTTCTTTTAAGAAACGTCTTGGTGATATTACTTCTTGCTTCTCTTATTACTGCTTACTTTTATTTAATAACATTCTACTATTAATTCTGTCTTCTATTTCTACCAGTTGCACAGATTTCATGAGAAAAGGTGTAGTGTCAGATAATAAGAACGTGGTATTGATTTTATAGTTTTGACTCACGTGGATTGCTGGAAAAAAAATCTCATTCAGCCAAATTACAAAGATCTTCTAAAGATCTCTCTTATCCATCACCTGTCCTCTTTTCTCCTAGGAAGATGTTCACTGATTGCACGATGAAGATGGTACTTTTGGCCCCTTTGCTTCTGATGACGGGGCTGATTTCTACGAAGGCCGCTGCGGCTGAGGAAGAATCGGGAACAGCGATTCCTGCTGAAAGTAAGTGCTGAGCTTCATCTCTCCTCTCAAGTCAACACAGCAGCAGGGACCCCCGTGTGCGGTTCTGCGGGAAACCTCGGTTTGCGAAGAGAGGGTCCTTCTCAACAAGCCAACCACTGCACCCCACCTATTACACTGCGATGGGCCTCAAGGGCTTTGAACAGGCAGTTGCAGCCCCCGTGGTGGTGGTGTTGTTTATGCACACGCAAACCTCCCAGGTGCACCTGAAATCTTTGATCTCAGGCTGGATCACGGACTGCAGTTACCTTGCACCCAATATACATTTGTTTTGCTGCAAAAGATGAAATCTGCATTTTTCAACCCAAAATCACATGTGTCCCTCTCGGATGTGCTCATCAACACACCTACAATATTTTTAGTTGCATTGTAAAACTGTGTTTTTGCCTCTAGTTTAGTATCATAATAGACAACATAGTATGTATGCTGCATAGACACGTTTTGGGAAAGGTGAACTGAGCATGTTCACCTATAGCTCAACAAATTCCTACAGTTAGTCCTCAACTTAAAACCACAATTGAGCCCAAAATTTATGCTGCTAAGTGAAACAGTTGTTACGTGAGTTTGCCCTATTTTACAACCTTTCTTGCCACAGTTGTTAAGTTAGTAACACGGTTGTGAAGAGGATTGGGCTTCCCCCGTGACTTTGCTTGTCCGGAGGTCACAAAAGGCCATCCCATGACCCTGGGACACGGCATAGGTACATGCCAGTCGCCAAGCAGGTGACCATGGGGATGCTGCAACGGTCTTAAATGTGAAAAATGGTCATAAGTCCCTTTTCTCAGTGGTAGTGTAACTTTGAATGGTCACTAAATGAACTGTTGTAAGTCGAGGACTACCTGTATTTCTTTCTTGAATTGGAGTTCGCATATGGCAAAGAAAAGCTTTGAAAACTTACTTGTACTCCAGAGTCGTGTTTCTAAACCTTTACAGTTTGAAGGAGTGTGGACTCAATTCCCGGAGTTCCCCAGCCATGTTGGCGAGGGAGTTCCAGGAATTGAAATCTGCACATTGTAAAATTGCTAATTAAATATATTCATTGAATTTTTTTCATTGCAACTTTTTAAATGTCTTGGGGAAGCCAAAGAAGAATGATCAAGCTTTTGGGCATGATTTTTCTGCTTTATTATTTTTTAAAAAAATGAGTGCAATGGTTATGGATTGCCACCAGAGGCAGTAATTAGATTGCAAACCACTTCCAGCCCAATCTAAAAATATTTTGATTAGTATAATGCACCATCAAAGAAATATTGTACCATCTGTGAATTATTTCTGTAATTACTTCCTGACGACATGCTCAGGTGGATTGACAGGCAGTTTTATGGCATAAAAAGCAGAGTCACAAATTCAGAATCCAAATCTTCACCGAAAGATTCTCAGGAAAGCCAGTGTTGTAGAAGAAAAAATGTTGCATAAGATATTCAAGATTGTAGCAAAACATTTTTTCATTCCTGTTTAATTTCTTGCTTGATAAAATAATAAAAGGTTGGAACTTGTGAGCAGCTGTTCACTGAAATGCATTCAACCCTTTCCCATCAGTGATCAAGTCTTTTGTTTATCTCAGTCTCCATCTTCCCATTCTTTTTCCCGGCCTGTTAATCCACCAAAGCTAACTTTTTTAAGCTTCTCTGTTTGATAAAAATGCATGTTTATTCTGGTCTTGTCTAGGTTTTCCGTAGTATCTGTCTCCAAATGTCTGTAATATTTAACTTCGCAGAAATGTGCTTACATTTTTTATTGTGTAGCTTTGATTGTGATATTTTATAGGAACTTCTAAAACTAAAGTTCTGCCAAAGGTATTATAATACTTCTCACATATGAAGCCAAGGACTGTTTCCAGAGTGTTTGGGAGAAAGAGCTTTCCACCAGTGAACAGACAGGAAAGTTAAAGTGCATCGCATTGGTGCTGTTTCTGGCAATGTTGCCATAGCTGCTATGTGGAAGTCCCAACCGAGGGGTCTATTCTGAGCCTCTGCCCTTTTTGAGGGGTGTTTTAACTCTTTGGAGAATGAAAATGAATTTGGAACCATAACATAAAGATGGGGAATTTCTGGTCCAAGGATCAATTCACTCTGTCTGCTCTTCCCAAAGCCTTTCTTCAAATCCTCAATTCTTCTGCTCTCCAACTTCCCTGGGTGCAGAAAAAGGATTGGAAAAGTCCCTCCCTCCCTTCCTTCCTTCCTCCCTCCCTTCCTTCCTTCCTTCCTTCCTAAGGAAACTGGTCGTCTTCTTGTCACAGCAATGGCCGCAACCTCATTCGGCCGCCTTCTGATTCAGAGATTATGGGAAATGCCATCCCATGGAAAGCTGATAGGCTGACTTCCTGTGTTCATTGTGGATCCTTGCACACATTCCGCAATATTTCATGTTCTTTAAATTTTTCCTTTAAAATCCACTTCTAGGTCGTCCCTGTGTTGACTGCCATGCCTTTGAATTCATGCAGAGGGCTTTGCAGGATTTAAAGAAGACGGCGTACAATCTAGATTCACGAGTATGACATTTATTTATTATTTAATTCATTGGCCACCCATCTTGTTTCAAAGCGACTTTCATTGCTGTTAACGCACAGATACACAGGGACTGGAAAGAGATAGCCGGCTTCCCTCGATAAGGGCTGCAGGAAATGTGATGAGTATCAGGGCTGGTAGGAGACGGCAGAACCTTCCCTTCCTCTTCTCCACCAGGGAGGCTACAGGAAAAAGAGCATAGGGGGATGGAGGGGGGGGAGTGTGAATGCAAGAGTTGTTTTGCAAGGGCAGGTGATCAATTGAGCCTTTGTGAAACACACACACACACACACACACACCTCTTTTTGCAGCTCAGGGTTGTGCAGTCAAGTTCTGAAGAGTAAACGTAGTTCATCAAGGCTCATCTTCCCAGACCTCAGGATGTTTTGCTGGCTGTTCTTAAAGGAGTAATCATAATTTCCCCTTGGTCTGATCTCCAGAGGCAGCCCTGGACCGTTTATTTGTCTTTGGCTGGGTCAGATTTAAAGTAGATTTCTTCTCCCGACAAAGTTTGCTGACCCTCATTGGTGATGATGTGATAAGATGCACCTGCCCGGCTCCCATTGGCCACTCTAGGCTGTTACAAGCATGCTGCCTCCCCTCCGGTGGCTGGCTGTTGTGGCCTGTCAGCCGCCAGCCCCTCCAGCAGCTAAATCAAGAGGAGGAGGAGGCGTGGGAGTCAGGGTCAGCATCAAGGCCACCTGAGAGCTCCGAGGGGGAAGAGGGAATGGAGCTGGCAGAGAGACAGAGACAGAGCCTGGGCCGTCAGCCCTCCGATGGAGAGTCAACAGCCCCCAAGTCTGGAGGTGGCTGATGAGGAAGAGGAGGAACAGCTGGGTCCAGTGCCTGATGCACGGATGCTCAGAAGGCAGAGGAGAGGAGAGCAGTGGAAATCTATGGACCAGTCCTTGGGACGGAAGCGCCACCGCTGCTAGCGAAGCCCCACCCTAGCTCTGGGGATAAAAGGCAGGGGGCGGAGATGAGTAGATGTGGCAGACAACTATTCATCTCCCCTGCCGGACAGACTTGTTAGCCTGAGATGAAAGAGAAGCTTTTTGCTGGGGCTGCTGGCTCTTCTAATAAAGGAATCGTCGTTTCAACTACAGAGAGTTTGTTGTGTTTGGGGAGCTGGGTCAGAACACTGACAGTGCCCTCCTTGCACCTTTTGGCCTGGGCTAGCAGGAGGACCTGACCCTGGAAGAGGCACCTGCTCTCATACGCAACATCTGTGCGTTGCAAAACGCTGCTCCGACACCCCACGGGTGCCGCAGAGTATTCGGCGGCCTTTGGAAAGAGGGCTAGGCCTGCATTTGAAGAAAAGGGGTGAAGGACGGCTGCTCTCTGAAGGGGCCAAGATTCTGTGCTGCCCAGGACCTCCGTTGCAACCAGGGAAGAGAGCCAGATTCTGAGGGCCTTATAAGTCCTGGGTTGCTTTGCATGGTGAATGGCTCTACCGCCATTTTGTCTTCTCCCATCCCAATTTGTATTTTCCACTGGACGCTCCTGAGTGCTGCTGGCTGTGACTAACCACAGCGTCACCCATTGCCATCCCCTTGCAATGGGGGTTAATTTGGGAAGTTGCTGGCCCAGGCAAGTTGGGAGGAGGTGGGCTTAGGCAGAAGGGAGCCCTCCAGAAGTTCTTGCAACCGCTGTAGAGTTCACTCTGCGTGAACTGTCACACGAGCGGTTTCTGAAGGCAGAGCTCACCGTCGGCTGCAGAAATGCAGGCTTGTCTCTGAATATAACCTGGCTGAGAGATTAGGGGGACTGAGGAGGGGTCAGCGATGAAATGGAGGGAGGTCTCCCAGTGGGTCTCCTCTGCTTCATGACCATCCGCTGGGTAACTGGAAAACTGATTCGGCTCCCCTCTCTCCCTCCCCATCCTGGGCATCACAACCCCTCCCTCGGATCCCGGTTCTTCTTGCTGGCTGGGGATGCTGTGGGACTCAGACCAAGGAACTGACCAGTCCTGGCCCTTAAAGCGTCCCACAGATTAGAGTCACGGGGACATTGGAAAGCTCTGCTGCTGGGGCTTGACCGTTGTTTCCTGCCAACTCAGGGTCGAGAGGGGTGCCCACGGATCTCGCCGTTCGGCTGGGACTATTTAGAAAAGCGGCACTCTCTAGAGGCCTTTCAGGATACTTTCAGATAAAACTGGAAAGCCGAACGGTCCAGGGGTTCTTCGGTTAGAAGCTGTGCTTTTATACTGCTGTTCATCCATTGGAAGGAGCAGGAGACTGAAGGCTTGGGGAAGCTTAATAGCTTTTTAGTCATCTTCCCACCCCAACAGGAAAGTAGCAATTAGTCGGTAGTTCTGCTGCATTGTTAGATAACCATAGTTAAAATAAGGACAGCCACGTTTTTGTGTAGAATGGCAAGATTTGTCTTCAACTAAGCATTAATCAGAATTTAGAAATCATGTTACATGCCTTTTTTAAAAAAAAATTTTGCATTTGGTTTGTTTTCATTTGTAACCAGTAATGAGAAATTGACTAACCTGCTTTGTCCCCTGCTCTCTTCCCCTCCCCACTTCCTCCCCCCAGACAGAGACGTTGCTTTTCAAAGTGGAGAAGAGAACCTTATGTGACTGTTTAGCCGCCAATGCCCTGAACTGAGTCCTGCAGAGCCCCCCACCACACACACACCTGGGAGGATCTTCCACAGCGCTTATCACTGCTGTCAGGAAAGGAAATAGTGCAAGCATGTAAATCCGACTGCTTCTGAAACTAAGGGGAGAATGTTGGTATGAGATTGTCCTGCCTGAATTCAGAATGTTTTTGTCTTATGTCCACCCGACCTCACCTGTGTCATCAGGAGTTGCAAGATAATTCCCAGAGAAAAGGAGAAAAAATGGGAGGGACAATGATGGACTTTTGCAAAGCGTTAAGGGTTTTGTTTTCAGAAGCTTTCTTTTTCAATACTATATTCCCCCCAACACACAACCAAAGAAACTTAAAATTAAAATTAATTAGTGAAGACCCCAGCAGGGATTCTAGAGATCTTTTGCTGGGACTCCTCATCTCATGAGTGTTTTTAGAAGGAATTAGACATTTATACCAAATAATGTATACAAAGCAGGCTTTGATCATATGCAAAATACGATTCTGATAGTGTCAAAAGATGTAAAATGCAACAGAATCAAATTGGAGGCTAAGTCATTAAGCAGTTTAATTATTGAAGAATATTAATTAACTGAACAGTTAACAGTGTTTCAAAAATGATCAGCCCTGCAATTGGACTTCTCCTTGACTTGAGGGAACAAGCTTTCACTTAGGTGAAACTTCTAGATCAGGGCTGTCAAACTCCTGGCCCACAGGCTAAGATGCGTCACACGCTGGCCACGCCCACACCCGGTTTAGCGAAGGGGGGGGAAGTCCCGATACGACACGTGACGACGCCGTGACAACCTGAGTTGGACACCCCTGTTCTAGACACTCGTGAACAAGGCCTGGGAAGGTTTTCATTTTTCACCTTTTCCTTACAGATCCGTGGAAATGCATCTCTAGCCAATCCTTCGTTCTTCTGCACTTGGTGCCCTGAGCAATTTGTAATTCATCTCCCAACCATTTTAGCTGAACGGTGTTAATCCATTATCAGTGCATCCTAGACATTATCTATGTATCATTTCTTTTCGAAGAAATGGGTTTCTGTGACTCTGTGTGTGTGTGTGTGTGTAAATGTACAAATGTTCCAGTACTGGGGAAATACACTTTTTAAAATAAAGATCTGAGATCCTGACTTTGGGTTGCGATGTTCCAATTCATACTTTTTTTTTCTGAGAAGCATAGATATTTTATGAATTCTTAATTTTTCTATGGTAATGTTTATTGGCCTGATTCTGGCTTTAACTATCTTTTTAGACTCTGCTTCACTCTTCTATTATTACTACAATATTCTTAAAAGGCCCAGCTCAGGTGAATGTCCACTTTCACTTTTGAAGGTTAAAAAAACCCCATGCGGCTAAGTTGATTGAAGAAAAAAAAGCTTGAAAGCCTGCAAGAAATGAAAGTTGCATCTCAGGAGTTGGATTTTGGGTACCTGAGGGCCACCACATCAGGCCTGAAAAGATCCAGGGATCCAAATACCATGATTTTCTTTTGGCCACCAATCTGGATATAGCTTGCCTAGCCTTTTTATTTTTAATCCTCTGTAGTAATAATCTGCTTTTGCTTGTACCTGCAATATAACATTCCCATTTTCATGAGAAAGGGGCTGTGGGGCTGCATACAATGGCAATTCTGTTTTTAGAAATAGAAAGCGGAGATTAAATATTTGGATAATTGCTGCTTCTATGCAAGGAGGAGGAAAAAACAGCTAGGATGCTGAAATTATCAGTGTGAGGAAAAAGTCTGGATCAAACCTTTTAGTTACTCTTCGGAGAAATTGCAGGAGATGGTGGCAGGATTAAAAATAGGAGGGCGGGCTCCTTACCCCCCCCCCCCAATAATTCAACTGCTAAGGAGTTGAATAGCGCTGTTTTTTTTCCTATAACAACGCTGCAGCTATTAAAAGAGCAGGAACCACAACCTTGTTTAAGGAATCTTAAACGCATTTATTTAAAACATTGCCAGAAAAGTCAGGATTGCTCCGTTGGCTCATCTCTTAGATGGGTTCAGATTTCTTCACTTAACTGGACTGAGTGCAATGTTTGTGTGTGAGGGTGGGTGGGTGGAAAGTTTTAAAATTACATCTGCATACCAGGAGGAGTGTGAATCAAGCCTTCACCTCCATCAAGGGAAAGGGGAAACCGTCGTCCCAGCCAAGCTTAACTAGCCAGCTAATCAAGACGTTACGGAGTATTTTGCTGGATGTTGGCTGAAATGGCTATACAGTATATTATACCCACAGATTTTCCCATCTACTAAACATGCCTAATTTTTAAAAATAATGGGACCACGGAACAGCCCAGGCTGGCTTCTGGTCGTCGTTTTCAAACCTGTCCATCTCTGAACGAGCACCGGTCATTTTGGAAGTCCATCAGGACAAGGCGGGCTTCTCCCCTGGAGTCCAGTTCCTCCCCAGCTCTTCAGGATTTCACAGATATAATACAGAGATATTCTGCCAAACCCCCCTGAACGTCTCTCACTATCCAAGCTGATCCTAGAAGAGCAATAAAACAAAATATAAAATAAAATGGCACAATAGCCCTCGATCGCGTTTCTATTGATCGTGAGCATCGACCCAGCCACTTTCTCTTGCTCTCCACAAGAGATTTTCTTTTAAAAGAAGAATGAACAAAACGCCATAAGGTGAGTCATTCTGCCTTTTTGTTCCATGCTGGCATTTTGCCATCTTCATTAAACCAATTCTTTATTTGGAAGTTCTAAAAAAAAAACAATCCAGTTTGGGGCTTTTCTAGCCTTTTCTAAACTCCGTTCATTCTGAGTTTTGGCTTTTTTTAAAAAAATATAGGTAGTCCTCAACCTATGACCACAATAGAGCCCAAGATTTCTGTTGCTAAGCAAAATATTTGTGAAGTGAATTTTGCCCTATTTTATGAGCTTTCTTGCCATAGTTGTTAAATGAACCACTGCAGTCGATAAGTTAATAACCCCGTTGTTCAGTGAATCTGGCTTCTCTGTTGACTTTGCTTGTCAGAAAGTCGCAAAAGGGAAACACGTGACCCTGGGACACTGCTGCGACTGTCATAAGTGTGAGTCAGTTGCCAACCATTCTGCTTTGGGGAAAGCAGAAATAAAAACATGCCGTATATTCCATAGGAAACCCCCGTAGCCAGATTTCGGAAGACCAGGGCTGTCTGTGCAAAGGAAGAGTTTGAAGCGATTTCTGTTTAAATGCGTCGATCCAAAACAGCAGCGACCTTTACATGTAGCCCAACACAGGACACGCTCTCTGCCTCAGAGGAGGCCACGTTTAATTTAATCGGTTGATGGATACAAATTTCCCATTTGAAACCCTTTGGGCCACCGTTCAATAGCATTTCCCGGTCACTTGTACCGGACATAAATTAAACTCGTGCCGTCCCGGGTGCTTGTTAGTCTCGGTGTCATTTCAGAAGCTCCAGCACAAATTCTCCCATTGACAGTTGGAACCAATCATTTCGCAGCCGGTTAAATCCCGAGTTGCCTCCGAGGCAACGCCCAACTAAGCCTTGCTTGATGGTCAGTTGTTTGCAGTTCCCACTATTCGTGTCGTAGGTACTGGGAGTTGGCCTGGCATGCAGCTGGTTACTTGCTGTTGTGTATTGTCAGACGCAAAAGATGATGTCCAATTAAACTGGTTCATTGCTAAAGGGCCTGTGCAAAGGAATCTTCTCAACTAACCGTTGGCACCTGCTTGGAGTTAGACAAGGCTCAGCAGAATTGAAGGGGAGCTGGGCTTCGCTCGCTTGTGGCCACGTAGGGATTTTAGGCTGTGACCCTGTTCTGCCCCTCCATCTGTCTATCGCTGCTTTCTTCTGGCTTTGCCTCCTTCAGTCAAGACATGGCGGGATACGACCAGTATACCACTTTATACTGCACTTTATACGGTAAAGCAGTATATAAATCTAAGGGCTATTGCTATCTGTTCTGAGGGGGCCATGTGCATTGAGGGGGCGGCCAAGACCGCATTTTCATGAAAATTTCTGACAACCTCTCTGCAAGCCGATTTCAGACAACAATGCTGGGCAGCTTCTGCTTCTCCTTCAGGAGCTGATCATAATCCCTGGCAAGGTTCCACTTTATCATCTGCATTTTTACTCTAGTTCTCCAGAAACATTTGCTCTTGGTTATGAAGGCGCCATGACAGCCAGTTTGCAATTTTTGTAGTCACACTTAATACAGGCTTATGTCAAGCAATAAGCAATGGCTTGTAAATTACAACGGCCAGGTTCACACATCATGAAAAGCCTCAAACACACAAACCTTATAGTGATGTATATCAATCCCCATCGGGTTGAATAATGCCACTCTGAGAGTAGGATGGCAGTCTGTAAATTTGATAAATCAGGGGAAATTGGAATTTAATCCAAAGAAAAGGAATTATGAAGGTGACAGCTTCTTCTAGATGGCACCGATTTCCCGAAGACGATCATTCGAATTGGATGTTGTCAGAGGTGTTATTTGGCTCTGGATGTGAAGCTTCAACTGAAAATTTATCTAGCATAATGAAGACCTGTTTCTGTTTTTATATTAACATTGCCAGTGCATCTTCCTTTTTGCTTAGAATAACTTGGAATGGAGCTCAACTCAGTGTAAATTAGAAGGCAGAGGGTGCCTGGAGGCGAGGAACGAATTATAAAATGTGTGTTGTGATATTAAGGGTTTGCATCTGTGTGTGGCTCTCCTGATTTGATGTGTAGGCACTCAAAATTCACCCATTTAGAAGTATCTTCTGCAGGGCATTCTCCCCCCCCCCCACATAGACGGTGAGGTCAGTCCAAGTTAACACGCGATGGCTTAACAAGATGTAACTGGCCCAGTTCACATGACAAACCCAAACCAATCAGGTAGCTTTATTGCACTTTATAAAGACAGCAGAAAGTGTGATTTCAGCCCTGCTCAAGGGGACATCTGGCACACCTGCCTGCCAGAAGAGAGTGAGGTTGGCAGAGGCTGGCCTTGGCCAGAGTGCCCGCTCAGTGGGCCGACTGCCAGCGCTGTGCACCAATGTGAAATCAAGTACAAAACAAATTTTCTTCACAGTGTCGATTCCTTCTTTTTTAAAAAGGTTAGCCTGATCAAAATCTGGAAGAAACCACATCTCAGCCTTATTATTAGGAATGACTTGGAAGTTACCTAAAATAGCCATTCTTCAATTTCAATTCCTTTAATCCCATCACCCAGTGGTGGGATTCAGCCAGTTCGCACCTATTCGGGAGAACCGGTTGCAAGGGCAGGCTGAGGATTTTGCACAGTATCTGCACGATAAAATCGCTCAGATTCGGGAAGGCTTGGACTCTGACTGGGTAGATCCCGGCGGGGTGACTGAGGCTGGTCTTGAGAATGTTACCTGGGATGAGTTCGACCCTGTGACTCCTGAGGACGTGGACAGGATCCTGGGGAGATTAAACGCAACCACATGTTTATTGGACCCGTGCCCCTCCTGGCTGGTACTGGCCACCCGGGAGGTAACACGAGGCTGGCTCCAGAGGATCATAAATGCTTCTCTGAGAGAGGGTTTCTTGCCTCCCGCCTTGAAAGAGGCGGTGGTGAGGCCCCTCCTCAAGAAGCCTTCTCTGGACCCGGCCGTTTTGGCAAACTATCGTCCGGTCTCCAACCTTCGCTTTGTTGCGAAGGTTGTGGAGAGTGTGGTTGCGCGCCAGCTCCCACAGTTCCTGGATGAAACCGTCTATCTAGATCCGTGCCAGTCCGGCTTCAGGCCTGGGTACAGCACGGAGACGGCATTGGTCGCATTGGTGGATGATCTCTGGAGGGCTCGGGACAGGGATTGTTCCTCTGTTCTGGTCCTGTTAGACCTCTCAGCGGCTTTTGATACCATCGACCATGGTATCATGCTGCGCCGGCTGGAGGGACTGGGGGTGGGAGGCACCGTGTTGCGGTGGTTCTCCTCCTATCTCTCTGACCGGTCGCAGTCTGTGTTGGCAGGGGGGCAGAGGTCGACTTCGAGGCGCCTTGCTTGCGGGGTGCCGCAAGGGTCGGTCCTCTCGCCGCTCCTGTTCAACATTTATGTGAAGCCGCTGGGTGAGATCATCCGTGGTTTTGGGGTGCGATGCCATCTGTACGCTGATGACACTCAGCTGTACATTTCCACCCCAGACCACCCCAATGATGCCCTCGAAGTGATGTCCCAGTGTCTGGAGGCCGTGCGGGTCTGGATGGGGAGGAACAGGCTTCGGCTCAACCCTTCCAAGACCGAGTGGCTGTGGATGCCGGCGTCCCGGTATAGCCAGCTGGTGCCATCGCTGGCTATTGGGGGCGAGTCACTGACCCCCACAGAGGGGGCTCGCAACTTGGGCGTCCTCCTGGACACACGGCTGTCTTTAGAAGAGCATATGACGGCCGTGGCCAGGGGGGCTTTTTATCAGGTTCGCCTGATACGCCAGTTGCGCCCCTTTCTGGATCGGGACTCCTTGTGCACAGTCACTCATGCCTTGGTTACGTCACGCCTGGACTACTGTAACGCTCTCTACATGGGGCTCCCCCTGAGGAGCACCCGGAGGCTCCAGCTGGTGCAGAATGCGGCTGCGCGGGTGATTATGGGAGCGACGTGGCGCTCCCATGTAACACCTCTCCTGCGCGAGCTGCACTGGCTCCCGGTGGTCTTCCGGGTGTGCTTTAAGGTGTTGGTTCTCATCTTTAAAGCGCTCCATGGCTTAGGGCCAGGGTATTTGCGAGACCGCCTGCTGCTACCGATAACCTCCCACCGGCCAATACGCTCTCACAGAGAGGGCCTCCTCGGGGTGCCGTCGGTCAGGCAATGTCGGCTGGCGGCCCCCAGGGGGAGAGCCTTCTCTGTGGGGGCACCCGCCCTGTGGAATGAGCTGCCTCCTGGAATACGATTGATCCCGGACCTCCGGACCTTCCGTAAAGCCCTGAAGACGTTTTTATTTCATCAAGCCGGCCTAGCCTAAATGGTTTTTAATTGGGATTTTAAATTTTATGGATTTGGGGTTTTAAATTTGGGTAGCCAATGATTTAATTCTTTTAATTATCTTAACTTTTGCATTTGTATGTTTTTTAATTTTGGCTGTTCACCGCCCTGAGTCCCTTCCGGGAGAAGGGCGGTATACAAATTAAATAAATAAATAAATAAAATAAAACTTTCTAAGCAGTTCGGAGAACCGGTTGTTGGAAGAAATCTTATTTTGTTTTTTTCCACTTTACAGAGCTAATCCTGTAAGGAAGGCAGGAAGGAAACATTCTGGTGTTGTTTCTAGCCTAATCTTTATTGCCCTGCTTACAGAAACTGCCTCTCTGGTTAACCCTTATTCCATTGTAACAGCTTAGGCAAGCGCCCATTGACCTGAGTGACATTGAGTTGGCCACGCCCACAGTCACATGACCACCGAGCTGGTCATTAGAGCAGAGAACCAGTTGTTAAATTATTTGAAATCCACCTCTGCCATCACCCTAGGGACACTCCGTTCTATAAAAACTTACTTTGTTTCCAGAATTTTGGATAAGGGAAATCCCCATCACTTGATTAACTTTGCAAAATTCAAGTTCAAAATTCAAAACCTAATAGGTTTTGCTAGGCAATTCACATTTTGAATAACAGATATGTCTGACTCTGAGTGGGTGAATGCAACACAGAAAACTTGACAATCTGTGTAATGTGGCACAGGCAAATTACTACTTTATTTTTCTTTTTTCCTTCCCCTCTGTTTCATTCTGTGGTTTTTACACTGTAGACCTGACAACAAGGCTTTTCATCTTTGTAAGACACTTTGGAAACTTTTTCAACGGAGCAACTGGCTAAATGTTTGTGAAATAAAGGATATTTTATTTAAACCAGGTAATACAGGAGTGTTCTCTAAATCTCTTGGGGCCAGTTTGGTCCAATGGGTAAGGCACCAGGCTAGAAACCAGGAGAAGGAGAGTTCTAGTCCCGCCTTAGGCAGGAAAGCCAGCTGGGTGACTATAGGCCAGTCCCCCCCCTCTCTCTCTCGCAGTCCAGCCCACCTCACAGGGTTGTTGTGGGGAAAATAGGAGGAGGAAGATGTGTTGGTGGCTATGTTCTCTATCTCGAATTATTTGCAAAACAATAAATACAGGATAGAAAAAGAAAAATAAATAACTGGAGACTCCAGATTAATTACAGTTTATATCTCATCCCAGTCATTATTCAATCGTTGACAGAATTTGCTATAAAACCACCTGCAATAGAGCCAAAGTTCCCAACAATGAAGCAGCGGCCATTTATCCTGGATGAGCCATGGGAATCACAGGGATACGGAATTGGCCCGGGACCGGCCTCGGCTTTTCAATCTGTATCCTATTTCGCGCTTCCAAAATCCGCCCAATCCCCCGTGTTTTCTCGGCAGCCTTTTAACGCCTCGGCTTCCTGCTCCCGAAGGCAAAACTAGAACTCCCAGCCTCCCCGTTTGCACTCCCCTTGCGAATCAAGCATAAGATGCATAATCTACATGAACTGACATCCTTTTTTTCTTCTGCTGCTTTTGATAGTTAGGAGTTGCTCTGCGAAACTCTCGCGGAGGTCCACTTTTGTCTCCGGGGGCCCCGAGAGAGGAAAACTGGCTCTGGAAACACCGACGGCTATTGCTCTTTCTAAACTCCTGGCCCTTCCCCCGGGGGAGACTCAGGGGGGGCAGGGAGGGGGAGGCCCATTCACCCCCCCATGGAGCCCTGAGGGCCCCGGGCGGTTAAGACGCCGGGACTCCCAAAGGCGGCCCTTCCGCACTCCCCGGGGGGGGGGCGGCTTAGCAGACCGAACCTCCTGCGAGGCGGCCTTCGGGTCTTTGCAGCGCGGCTCGGGAGGCTGCGCAGCGCCCGCGCATCTCCGCTGGACCCGCCGCCCGGCACCGTCTCTCTCTCGCGGCTCCCCCGGGGAGCTCCGCTGGCCGACGCCCGCCCCGCCCCTCCCCCGCCCGGGGGGCTCCTCCAGCTGCTTCTCCTGACGCGGCCCCCTCCCTTCCTGCCGGGTCGGGGGGGGGGGCATAGCTTCGCCCCGTGATTGGCCAGCGTCGGCCAGGGCCACCGCCCCCCCCCGCGAAGGGCGGGGCTGCTGCGCGGCGGTTGCCCGAGGGGGAGGCCCCGCTGCGCTGACGGGGGGCGGGGAGAGCGGGCTCTGGGGCCCCGGGGGGCCAGCCCAGCCCTCCAAGAGGAGCCCCCAGTGGGGAAGCGGCCGCTCCTCCCGCCCCCCTCCGTCGCTTGCCTGCCAGGCGGCCCCAACTCTTCCGCCCCTCGCCCGCCGCCCTCCCCGCTGCAGGCGCTGGCAAGAGGGGGCCGTGGCCGTCCCTCGCTGGGAAAGGCGCCCGTGGGGCTCCTGGAAGAGCCCGAGCCATCCTCCCGCGCTCCGTGGGGCGGGGGGGAGGGGCAGCGCGGAGATTCCGCAATGGGGCGGCTTGCGGGGAAGCGCTCGCAGCCTTTGGAGTCCCCTCCCCGCCGTCTGGGCTGAGGCGCCGCGCTCTGCAGCTGGGCCGGAGCGGGGGGGGGGACGGGGACCGCAGCGGAGCATGACCCCCCCAGCCCCGCGGAGGGCAGGGCCGGGGGCGAGCAGAGCCGCTGTCCCGGGGAGGAGGGAGGGAGGGAGGGAGGGAGGGGGGAGGCGTCCAGGCAGGCCAAGCCCGACTTTCTGCCGTGTCATCCGAAGGCTGCCAACGGGCCTCCCGTCTCAGCCGGGCTCCGAGGGCGGCCAAGGCGAAGCAGCGGCCTGGGCTGCCCGGGAGAGCCGGCTGGGCCCGCAGGACGGGCGCCCCCTCTGAGGCCGTCGAGCCTCCCCCGCGGCAAAGCGGCCGCCCAGCCACGCAGCTCCTGCCGAAGAGCCCGGGGCTTCGCACAGAGGGCCGCCGAGCCACGTGCGCCGCAGGCCGGGCCGCCCTCGGGCTCTGCGGCGGCGGAGACTTCGGGTGCCCCCCGCCCCGGTCGGGAATTGCAGCCCGGAGGCTCTCTTGGCAGCCGCCCCGGAGCCCTCCAGCCTCCCCCCCTCCCTCCCCCCCCACCGGGCCAGCGAAGGGCGGCAAGGCAGGCGGGGGATTCGGCGGGGAGCCCCGCGGGGGGGCGTGTCCCGGGCCCGCCGCCAGCCCCTCCCCCACCCGTCCGTCCGTGCGGCGAAGCAGGGCGCGCGGGGCCCTCTCGGCCAATGAGCGGGGCGCTAGGACCCGGGGGGAGCGCGGGCCCAACTGCAGCGCCGCGGCTGCCTTATAAATGGCCCCCGAATGCGGCGGAGCTCTTTCCTGCCGCCGCCGCCGCCGCCGCCGCCGCCTCGCCCGCCTCCTCCGCCCGCGGCCCGTTTGCATGAATTGCTCGCCGCCCGAGATGGTTTGCGAGACCAAGATCGTGGCCGAGGAGCGTCCGTCGCTCGGGGCCGCCGCCAAGGAGGGCCGCCTGCCCGCCCCCGCCGCCCTCGCCGCCCAGATGTGGCCGCCCGGCGCCGCCGCCTCGCCGCCCGGGGCCGGGGCCGGGGCCGGGGCCGGGGCCGGGCCCGCGGGCGGAGCGGGGGAGCGGGCGGCGGGAGCGGCGGGGGTCTCCATCCGGCCCTTCCACCCGGCCGAGGGCGAGGCGGTGCGGCGCATCTTCTACGAGGGCATCCTGGAGCGCATCCCCAACACCGCCTTCCGCGGCCTCAAGGACCAGCCGCTGGCCCAGCTGCTCTACGCCGCCCTGGCCGGTGAGTGGCCCGACCCCGCGGGGAAAGCGGCCGGCGCGCTGGGTTGCCGCGGGGCCCTCCCGACCCTCGCCCGCCTGGGAAGCCGCCGGCCGGGCCGTTTCTGCCGGCCGGCGGCGGGAGGGGAGGCGGAGCGCCCTTCGCATTGCAGCAGGCGCGGGGGCCGGGCGGGCCGGGCCGGGCGATAGCGGGGAGGCAGAGCCGGTCGGCGGGCCGCCACGTGCTGTCCGAGGAGGCGGCTGGGCCCGGGGGCGAGGCTGAGGCTGAGGCGGGAGGCAGGAAGCCGGGGGGCGAGCGGGGCCTTCGGGCAGCTGCGGCGCCTGGAGCACCTGCTTCCCCGTGGAGAGGCTGGGCAGGAGCCGCTGCGCTCAGCACCCTGGACAGCGGCTCTGAAGCTGGCCGGCTGGGGGGGGGGCCTTCAACCGCCCACCGGGGAATTCTGGGGCTTGAAGTCCAAGCCGTGGTGGAGTTGCCAAGTTGAGTGACTGGAGGCCGCTCTGGCCACGAGGCGGTTTCCCCGAGCCGGAGCCTCCCGCGGAGGCCGTAGAGCCCCGGGCAGCATCAGTTCTCAAGCTCCGCAGACGGGAGGGGAAGCTGCACTGGCGGAGGCTGAGAAACGATGCTCCGGAGCCCAGCGGAGTTTACGGGAAAGCTGACCGTTTGTCGGGACCTCCCTTCAACCCCTGCACCAGTCACGAATGCTCGCCCGAGGCCTCTACTTAATGGGCAGGGAAGGGTCGTTAATGGTTACCAGTGGGAAAAGGAGGTGGGAGGCTTTGTGGATTAAGGGCATCCCCTGTGTGCTACTTCAGGGTCACATGAACGTTTAGCTAAAGTCTTTGAACTTCCGAAAGCCCAGAAGGTTACTTACTTTGGTTTTATTACCTTACTTACTATTTTATGACCTTAATCTTACCATTCAGGACAGTTTTCAGTGTGTTCTGCTAACGGGTATCAAATAAATTACACGGGGATCTACAGTAACGTTTTGGCACAGGTCTTACGTTTCAAGAAAAGGCAAAGAAATTAAAAATGAACTTTTCTTTTGTTTTCTTAAGCAACAAAGCTTGCAAACCAACAAGGGAAGGAAAAAAGGGCATGTAGTATTCCAGGGAGTTTGTTCTGAAATAAATGATATTTGAAGGAGGCGGCCAGAACTCTCCAATATTGCCCTGAACTCTTTTTGTAACTCTAGCACAAGTTGACTGAACTGTTTAAAGTACTTGGTGATATCACCTATTAAAGTTTTCAGAAAGTTATGAATCTTGTGCAAATGGTTTCAGATGGGTTCCACCAGGGAGGGAAGGAAGGCAGCAGCCAGAGTTATATGAAGCTCCCATGCAACTGCTTTGAAGCCCTCCCGAGGCCTTCTGGGGAAGTCACCTCCCCCGTGCTAATCCGACGAAAGATCTGAGCGTAGACACTCTACGTGTCCAGAAGACGCCTGGGTTGGTTATCAAAGGTTGTAGCACGGTCATATGAAGTGAAGTCTACCTTGGGGCCAAGGATAAAAATCACTAAGCAACAGATCTGCTTATTGGCCAAAAGCCAAGATTTCTTTTTCATTGCTAATGTAGATGCCCTAGCTGTGAGGGTCACTAAATTAAACGGTTTTAAAGGGTCTTGGACAAAAGGGTTGATCGGAGGCAGAATTCATGGATGAGCAGGATAAAGAAAAGAATGTTCTCTGTTTCAAATCAGTGTTTTGGGATTCAGCATCATGTCACTCTGTTCATGTGGGAAATGATGTTTGGGAATGTTTTTGTTGCAAGAGGGACAGTTTTCTGGCTTGTTTTCATCTCGGGGGTTCTTGAGAAGGTGTTCTTGGATTTTCCCTGGTGGCGTCTCCGTTTTGAGGGTCTGTTCTGCTCTCCTTCCTCCTCTTCAAAGGAATTGGCAAGCCAAGCAACTATGAGGCACCCCAAAGGCTGTTTGGCTAAGAAGGTCTAATTAAGTTCCGGCTACGGTTGCTGCATGACTGCTCTAATTCGGAGCTGGACTTTCACTAATCAGTTTGCAAGGAAGGCATTTCATTAATGCTTTTACCTCCTTCGTCTCAGAACTTCTAAATATTGTACTTGAGACTTCAGGCGGAATAGGAGAACATTTTGTTTTTTTATTTGAATGGAACATTGTCCTGTTGTGGCTGCTTGAATTTCGGGATTCTGCTACTGCCGTTTTAACTATCGTAAACCACCTGGAGTATATGGAAGTAGGTAGCAAACAAGCCCCTTGTAATAAATGACTTTATATAAATAATTTCCCCCTGAATTAGTCCACCTTGCTGTGTTCCTCACAAGCACAACGCTTCTGCTTTTCACAAGGCCCTTTTCTTTACAAAATTTAACCTGATCGAGAGAGATAGAAGGGACTTTACAGCCACTAAGAGACAGACTTAAAAACTAATCAAGGATAAATTTAACATTATAAAGTGGAATGAGCCACTTCCTTTGGAAATTCACCGAATTTTTCTCATGGCAAACGGAGCAAGTTGTACAATGAATGTGTCCAAATGTGACTTGCAGCTTATTTTACCAGCTACTGTGTGGCAGTGATACAGCAGAATGAGCTCTTCGCACATGGTGTCTGTCTAGGCTAGATTGTTAAAAAGAATGTTTGCCCCAAAGACCAGTTTTGCAGAGTGCATCGCAAGGTAAATAATCAGGGTTCCTTCTGATGGATGTTAGCAATGGGCTGCATGATTGGCAGTTTCAGAATTTTATTCTGACCAGTTTCCTAATACCAAAAATGCTGTTGGTGCCAACCTTCTCCACTCTCTGCATATATATGCCTACTTTGATACTCAAGGAATGATCGAGGCTTTTTAGAAAATGAACTCAAAATGAGCATTGACATTTTTGAAAGGGCGGCCATGTATTACACAGACATATGCAGAAGCAGTGAAAAGTGCTGACAAGGATGATGCAGTGGTGGTGGTGGTGGGGGAAGCTGAAGAATAGAATGAAGATTACAGGAAAACAAAGTTTTCTGCATTACCAGGAAAAATCAGGAGTTTTGAGTGAAACAGAAGACAATGGGTCCGATCGATTTAGAGAGGGAAGTTTCACTTTTGCTACTATAGTGTTAAGAAGGTGATGACGTACCAGTTTCAAATACTTTAATGACTTTGGGCTGTAAATAAAATTTATTTGATTAAATTTTGAAATAAAATACTTTAATGCAGTTGGCTGAGGAATTCTGGGAGTTGAAGTTCATTAAAGTTACTGAGAAACTCTGCTTTAATGGGACAGATTGTTTTGGTTTAAGGAATATTTTGCTTTTAGGCAGAATTTAAAATGGAAAAAAAATGCCTTGGTCGCTTAGGTTACTGTACTGTAACAGTACTGTCCTGTCCTGAATAAGAAAGGAGGATCATGAATGAAGCCCATATTATCCAACGTTTTGTCTTACCAATGGCCAGTCAGATACATTTAGGTGGGACAAGTTTGTTTATTGGTTTAGATTGTCCTGCAGGAGCACAAGATGGTAAATTCTATTTTTTTGAAAAAAAAATATTACATACCAGTTCTGTGAAGTAGTTGAGGCTGAGATCTTGTGATTTATCCGAAATCATCCATTGGTGAGCCGGTTTCAATCTGGCTCTTTAACCAGTATGCCTGACTGTCTCTTTCACAGTGTCCTGGTGGCGATTCAGGCACCGAAATCTGAAAGTTCCAGAAATTTAACCAGTTACAGGTAGCCCTCAACTTACAACAGTTCATTTAGTGACCGTTTGACATTACAACGGCACTGAAAATGTGACTTAGGATGGTTTTTCACACTTATGACCATTGCAGCAGCCACCCCCCTACCCCACATGGGCCACCTGATCAAAATGCATATGCTTAGCAACTGACTCGTATTTATTTATTTTTATACAAAGTTTTTTATTTTTTTAAAACAAACATTACATCATTGATCATTCAGTGTGTCATCTGGGTGCAAATTTTTGTGTCATCATAATATTTATATTTCTTTGCTTTTACATTTCAATTTAATATATCTCCTCTTAGAACATTTTTCTTCCAGATTTATTTAATTTTACACCGCTTTTTGTCCATATTCATTTTCTATCCAATAATAAAATTGCCCCCATATGTTGTAATACTCCGATTCTTCCTTCCCTTTAATGGCTAATGTTAATCTATTCATTTCTGCACATTCTACTATTTTCTTAATTACCTCTCCCTCTGTAGGGATTTTTTCCGCTTTCCAATTTTGTGCAAATACAATTCTCGCTGCAGTTATTACATGAATAATCAAATATACATTTTCTTTACTAATTTTCTCAAGTAAAATACCCAACAGAAACAGCTCCGGTTTTAAGTCAGTATGTTGCTGAGTCATTTTCTCTAATCAAATCCGAATTTTTGCCCAATAGTTTCTCGTTTCTGCACATGTCCACCACATATGGTAGTACGATCTCGGTGTCTGGTGACATTTCCAACACTTAGTTGATTTATCTTTAAACATTTTTGCCAATCTTTCCGGTGACATATGCCATCTATAAAACATTTTATACAAATTCTCTTTGTATGCTGTTGCGATTGTTAACTTATAGTTTCTTTCCCATAGTTGTTGCCATTTATTTAACTCTATTGTGTATCCAAAGTTTTTTGCCCATGCTATCACTGTTTCTTTTACTTCTTCTTCTTCTAATTTAATAGAAAGTAAGTAACTATACAATTTTTTAATCATTCTCTCATCTGTTCCTGTGAGTATCTCATCCAATTCTATCATCTCCAAGTAAAAACCATATAACTTTGCATCTTTTTCATATCTCGATTGTATTTGCAATTGTATATACCACTCCATATCAATCCCTTGTTCTTCTAATCCTTGTTTCGTTTTCAATTCCCTCTTTTCTGATAAAATATCTTTATATCTAATAATATTTCCCATGTTAATAATATTTGGATGTACTAATGCTTCCATTGTTGAAAGCCATATTGGTGTTTACAAATAATGTTTTTCTCTGACTTTCTCCTACACTGATGATAAAG